TGGGACTTTGATTTAAAGAAGAAAATAACCAATCCAAAAATGTTTATTTTTGTATTTTAGAAAACTTTTGAATACCATAATTCTTAAGGGTTTCATTCGAACTATAATATCCGAATCTTAAAGTCTACAACTTACAACTTTCCGCTTTAAAATGCACACCACATAAACTCTGACCAATCCCAGCCCAAGAATAAATTCACATAGTAATTCTTAAAGACCTCATATTCAATAAACTGCGACATATGCTACGTGGTTCACCTTCAACACATTGACAGTTCAAGTGGCCAATAACCGGAGCTAGGCTAGGATTGAAGGTCGCATTAGAACAACAGATAAAACCGAATCCAAAACCCAATCAGATCAAATGAACAAGAGAATTGGATGGGATGTGACCCAATTTTCAAACCGCACGAAACGAAAACAAACACAAAAATCCGAAAAACAATGAAGTTAAAAAGTGACAAATAAAAAGGAGGGCAGGCTTCTATTTTAAGGTTTCGACCGCAAAATGTATTTCACTCTTGGTTCAGTGACTTTGTTGCCGGCGGTTTTGTGCAGAAACTCGGCTGAAACCAGTTGGACCAACACTTTCATTCACATTTTCCAGTGAAACTGCCCAATTGACCAAATACATTGGATCTGGTTTAAAGGCAATCGGACTGGATATACGAAGACTTCCTTGTCCAGTTCGCGTTGAATTATGAAATACTCGACCATAAAAACCAAAGCTTAAACCAAAACAAAAGTGGTGCGACCGACCCACACTACACTTGAAAATCAAGATGTTTTCCGCAATCTCTCCGTGTCCATATGATCAATTGCAGTCATTTACCAGTTTGGCTTAAATTTTACGGACTGCCCACGAGTTAAAGTCGGAAAAATGTCTATGCATTAGCACTTTAATTGCCCACACGACACGCAGAAATAACCATTTACATGCGTTTACTTCTTGGGCCGGCGAAGAAATGGTGGAAACCTTTCAAATCCACCGGAGATGATCCCTATCGCATCCCAAGAGATCCGGAAAAGTGAAAGGAATCATCATGAGCTTGCATATTTATTGCACTCGTCTTTATTTATTTTTCATAGCTGTAAATGGCTTCAACTTCGACTTGGGCCTCAGCATCCCATTCAAATATTGCATAAACACTTTCGGGCCCAAATGTAAAAAAGTAAAAGTATTCGGGTTGCTTCCTTTTTTGGCGTCAGTTTTTAAGGTCATCGAATATTTCAATTTAATTGGGGTCGAGATGATAACTGATATTAGTAATCAAGGCGATGTTAGACGATAATGGGATCATCGTGGGGTATTTGAAAAATAAACAAGCGAGGCCATTTGCCAATAAGGGTTCCCTTAACTATTCTTGACTTAACCTAATAAATAATATAACATTTGTATGTTGTTATGAATAATTTACATGCAGATTTAGATATTTACATTTAATCCTTAGATTTTTAAAAAAATTTGAACTGCTAGCCTAAATTATCATCTCGAAAAGAATAAAAATAATTCAATTTTTGATCCTTTATTGAAATGAACTTATCCTAAATTAGTCAGGCCATTCAAATTAAACATATTATATTAGACACATAAAAAATTGTTATGCTCTTTACTTTAAAATTTAAAAAAAAACTTGCATTAATAAAATCTTTACCATACTTTCAGAGCACGACGATATCAACACTCTGCATGGCACCTATAATTATCTGAAGAGCACTGGCCAGGTAAGAGCATCTCCATAAAGTTAATATGTACTGCATTTTGCCATATCGCCGTAAACATTGTTGCATACATTATTGGTGGTTCATAAAGCGGAATAAATAGCAACCATCGATGAAAGTCCATCAAAAGCTACCGACATGTGGAACGGAAGCTTTAGCTCCTTGGTGTTTGATATTGCATTTAGCATCTAGCATATTGCCTGCCCAGAAAATCTCATTTGTCGTCTCTCTCTCTGTCTCTGTATCGCTCATGCGCTGTCTTTGTCGCACTCATTGTGTCAAGTGTGGCCTCCATTATATATCTGTAGCAATATCCTCGTAAGACCTCACCCCCATACAACACAAACAACACCCCACACACACTAGAATTAAACAGTTTAGCCACTTAGCTATCTGGTAGACTATCAGCTATCCCTATATCTATACACCTATACTCTGATTCTAGTTGGCTCTACACTATCCTATAAAGAAATCTCCTAACACTAACAAAAACTACGAAAATTACACTTCGACTCTGTCTTGGAATTTTTTGTCAGCGCAGTCTTAAATATATTTTGGTTTTTTTTTTATGGTTCGTTAGTTAGTTGCGACATAGAGGCGATAGAAAATCGATTTATAAAGATTAAATAGTAAAGGTAAGTGTCCGTTGTGGGGAGGATTAATACTTATGTCGACATACCCAGCTGTGTGTTCAACTTCTTTGCGAAATTTCTGAAATGATGGGATGCCCCCAGGTGCCTTGTTTGTTGCTTCCAAAAAAATGAAAAAAAAAACCAACCGCTTAAAGTCTATTTTTATCAAACTTTATATGTTGTGTCCTACTTGTGTTTTGACTCGTTTATGTGCGTGTATCTCTGTGTCTGTGCTCCCAACACCAAGAAACCTGCAACCTGAAAACTACTCCAACTAGCACTCCCAACTTTTGCAATTCGCCAGCTCAAACACCTGACCGCCGCCCAGCTGAACAACACACCGCTGGCCCAAGTGGACACAGTATTCTTCAATCGTATTACAAAAACGGGCAGCGAAAAGATGATGGAATTGCTCAAGATCCTGGCCAAGAAAAATGATTTCGAAGCACGTCGCGATGTCGAGGGATTATACGAAGTGGTGATAATGCACGATTCGTATGCCAAAAACTTTCTACGCACTGAAGTACTTAACTGCAGTCGAGCCGATACATATACCAAGCATGTGGCCTACATAGATTTTGATAAAATGGATGAACCCTGGCCCATATACATCAACTTGGTACGAGATCCCATCGAAAGGTTGGTCAGTTGGTTCTACTATGCCCGAGCTCCCTGGTATATGGCCGAAAGAAAGGAGGTTTTCGGGGATGCCGTCAAATTGCCCACTGAAGAGTGGCTGAAAAAGGACTTTAACCGCTGCATCGAGGAACGCGATCCCGAGTGTGTGTACGAGCAAATGGAAAAGGGCAATCTGGGCGATCACAGGCGACAGTCACTTTACCTTTGCGGTATGAATATGGAGGTGTGCATGTGAGTAGCTGTTCTAGAGATGAGTGGGGGGGGTTCTAGGAGTGGTTGGTCGCTAAATGGAAGGGTGGTTTTTGGGATTTAACATTTTCTATAAAGTTAAATCATAAAATGATCTTTAAGATTATATTTATTTAAAATTTTTGTAGCTGAAATCCTGATGAGAATATTAAAAGATATTAATAGAAAAATCCATTAAGTAATTTATAACTGAGATCAAAATCCTCTCCAGTTTTCGATCAACCTCTCCTTGAGTTAGAACCACCATCCTGAAACTGACCCCAGTAAAGTCGAGAACTAAGTGAAACCCAACCATCTCAGGCCCTTTAATTCCCATGAGGCCATGCAGCGGGCCAAGAAGAATGTGGAAGAGCACTACGCGGTGGTTGGAACCTGGGAGGATACGAATATCACACTATCGGTTTTAGAGGCCTACATCCCACGTTTTTTCGCCGGGGCCAAAGACGAGTACTACGCTTTAAAGCAGACATTGGGAAATGTTAACCGAAATGCCTTCCGACCCCTTCTCAGCGGAAAAGCAAGGGCCTTGCTCAGCCAAAATCTCACCCGGGAAATCGAATTGTATCAGTTTGTCAAGCATCGACTGTACAAGCAGTACATAGCCCTACAGCTGGATAAAGATCCCAAGCTGAGGGCATAGTAAAAAATTAGTCACTAAGGGTTCGTTGAAGAGTAATAAAAAACTTTCCTAACTTTCGTACTCCTTCGATCTTTTCCGGAATAACTCTAACTCCAGCTTGGTAAACTTTTGATTTGGCGTTTAGCTTGGGTAGATTTCGCACAGATTTAGCCTTATATAGCCCCTATTGTCTATGCAGAAGGTTGGATTTAATATACACGATCGCCGGAGCAGCGAGGAGGAGTTGCGGGATTCGACGGGACATGGACATCATCATGATCACCACACGCACCATCATCATGTGGAGAAAGATCATCATCAGAAAAAGATCGATGGCCATAATCACAAGGCTGGCCATGATAAACAACTGGCTGTTCCCGAAAATAAACGCAAGGAGGATGATGTCCACTACGAAGATAATGATGAGGAAGTCGAGGAAAATGACGATGATTTGGCCAATAGTATGGGAACCAGTGATGATGAGGGTTTCAATTTGAAGGCCGATCTTTTGAATAACACCAAATTCGCCGAGGTGGATTTTGTCTTCTTCAATCGAGTCCCCAAAGTGGGCAGTCAATCTCTGATGGAACTGATGGCCCGTTTGGGCAAAATCAATGGCTTCACCCATGCTCGAAATAAGGGTAGTGCCCATGAAACTATCGTGATGAATAAACAGCGGCAGAATGATCTTGTGGCCGAACTCCTGATCCGACCAAAACCACATATATATAGCCAGCACATTGCCTACATTAACTTCACTCGCTTCCATTTGCCCAAACCGATTTATATTAACTTAATTCGCGATCCGATCGATCGGATCATCAGCTGGCATTACTATATTCGGGCTCCGTGGTATTACCGCGATATGAAGGCCAAGTTGGGGGACCAGGCACCGCCGATGCCCTCGGATGAGTTCCTGAACCTCGATCTGGACACCTGCGTACGGAATCAGGATCCTCACTGTACTTTTACCCAAATGCAAATCAAAAACCCTGTGGGCGATCATCGCCGACAGACGCTGTTCTTTTGCGGCATGAATCAGAAGCTGTGCATGTAAGTAGGGTTGTAGATAGGGACATTAATACGATCATAACCTCTTCGAAAACCATGTTGATAGGCCCTTTAATTCGGAGGCTGCCATGCAGAAGGCCAAGCGAACTGTGGAGACGGAATACGCCGTAGTGGGCACCTGGGAGGATACGAATATAACGCTGTCCGTTCTGGAGGCCTATATACCACGATATTTCCGCAATGCCAAAGTAGCCTACTACTGTAAGAAAGTACATAATCCAAGCTGAGGATCTATCTCAACACCCTCCCCTTAACATTTTTCAGTGGGAAAAGATCGCCTGTCAAGGGTAAATCGCAATAATGTTACTCGCATTGTTAGCGACGAAACCCGACTTATTTTGAGGAAAAATCTTACCAACGAGATTGAGTTTTACGAGTTTTGCAAGCAGCGGTTGTATCTTCAGTACGCGGCTTTGACTCAAGGAATGAAAGTTGGGGAGGATGACTACCTTTTGGTACCCGAACAGCAAAACGATTACAATGAGGACTATTGAAATAAACTTATAGTAAGAACAAATAAAATACGTGATAAGTCAGAATGAAATGTACAATTAAAACTGAACTCAGGACTGTAAGAATACAAATTAAAAGAAACCGAACGTTGATGCCAGACTTTTATTGGTTTTGTTTAGAAAGAAAGGATCTTGCATAGTAAACAAATTGAAATACATCTCAAAAAACATCTTGAAAAACTTTTTATTTACTTTTTATGAAATGGACCCTATACACACTTTATTTAAACCTTTTGGTAAAAACCGTTTTTGATTGCTTTGTGTGTGAATGTATTTTTCAAAATACCTCCGGTTGCTTTCTGTGTATCCCGAATCCCGCCTAGAGCTTTATGTGTTTATCCATCTATACAACTAGTATCTGTGGATCTATTTGTCTGTGATTGGTTTTGTTCTCTACAACTGTGACCTTTTGCAGCTGTGGCGATTGAATCCGAAATTCCTCAACAACACCAGGTTTCATACTCGCAACATCCTCTTCTTTAATCGAGTGCCCAAGACGGGCAGTGAAACGCTGATCGAGTTGATGGTACGATTGGGTGAAAAGAACGGCTTTCAGAACGAACGGGCACCTTTTTCGAAGCCCATTGGAATGTACTGGCCCATGGAGCGCCAAAAACAGGAAGTCACTCGAATAATGGATTTACAGTCGAATTACGCCTTTGTCTATGTAGAGCACATGAATTACATGAACATTCGGCCATTTCATTATCCCCAACCGATTTACATCAATATGGTAGGACAAATAATCTGTTCTGAGAAGACTTACTCATACAAAACATAATTTATCAGATTCGTGACCCCGTTGAAAGAGTGATCAGCTGGTTCTACCATGTACGCACACCCTGGAATTCTTTAAATATGTACGAGATCACTGGATCATTTCATAATCGCACCTTTTACGTCAAGAGCTTTGAGGAATGTGTCCTGACGCACGATCCTGAATGTCGCTATAATTACGGCCTTAATTACAAAGAAGATCCCGGCGATCACAAGCGTCAGAGCTTGTTCTTCTGCGGACACTCACCCATTTGCGAGTAGGTAGTTTTCAATTCTGGTAGTTTCATGTCATAACAGTAAGGTTTTTCCATACCCTTCAAGACCTTTTAATACCCCGGGAGCAATAGCAAGGGCTAAGCAAAATGTAGAACGTGATTACTCTGTGATTGGTTCCTGGGAGGATGTGAATGTTACTTTGTCAGTACTCGAGGAATATATACCACGATTTTTCAAAGGCGCCACGGAATTGTACTATGGTAAAGTCCCTTTGAAGTTGTCTTTTCAAGAGGTATCAAATAAATCCCTATATCTTCCCATAGAACCCATCAAAGGCCTGGCCTTTAAGAAGGAAAATACAAATCACTGGAAACCGAAAATTAGCGAACGCATCAAGCAAATAATTCGAGCCAATTTCTCCCAGGAATATGATTTTTATTATTTTTGCAAGCAGCGTTTATATCGACAATATTTTGCAATAAACAGACATTTGCATTTCTGAACTACTCTTTCTATTAACTTTACTACCCAAAAACCCTGTTGTGTAGTTTGTGTTGTATTTGTTTGGTATCATTTTGTTTTTGGAAGAAAGTGGACTTATTTCTCTCCTAACTTTCAAGCTGGAATATTTGGACGCCGCCCAACTGAATAATACCCCCAAGGCGGAACGTGATTTTGTGTTCTACAATCGACTGGAAAAGACGGGAAGTCAGTCGATGACGCGTCTCATCAAGCATTTGGGTGATCGCAATGGATTCGACACTTACAGGAACATAGTGCGAGCCACGAAGCCAATCACCGATAGCGAAGAGGATGAGAAGGATTTGGTGGAACAGCTTTTTGGACTGGGTGACCATGCTGCTTACGTGGAGCACGCCAATTGGGTGAACTTCACAAAGCACGGACATCTCCGTCCAATTTACATCAACATGATTCGCGATCCCATACAAAAGGTGATCAGTGCCTACTATTATCAACGCCATCCGTTGATCTTTGCCCAGAGTTTGATGCGAAATCCCAATAAGCGAATCCAGAGCAAACAGTATTTCGACACTGCTTTCAACGACTGTGTTAGGAATCGGGTACCCCCATATTGTGTTTTCGATGCCCATAATCCTTTTAACGGCGATTGGAGGAGGTTCTCGCTTCACCTTTGTGGCAATGCGGAAATTTGCACGTAGGTCTTGGTCCTCTCAAATAAGAAATCTAGGCTTTTGTTCCGCAACCAAGTTTAAAAAGATAGCTAATAAATTTGATGCATTTCAATTTTTATGCTAGGGCATTACATAAAAAATTTTGATCTCAGTTATAGAGGTTTCTAAAAGTATGCAATATATAAAAGAACATCGTGATTTTTAAAAAATCTATTAGACTTCCGAATATCAAATATATTTTTGCATATTTTTTCAAATAGCTCTTAAAGTGATATTAAAACCCTAAAGTATTAAAGAAAATCTGTTGTATTTTATTATTTCATAGAACTATAAGCACATATCCCTTTTAAACTTGGCTGCGAGAGAAAGCATATTTCAGAGAGTTCTTTAGTCTAAAGTTACCATGGTCCCTCCTATTTAGGCATTTCAACTCAGAGACCACCACGCAAATCGCCAAAAGGAATGTGGAACGGGAATACGCGGTAGTGGGTAGTTGGGAGGATACAAATGTTACCTTGGCTGTCTTAGAGGCCTACATACCGCGTTTTTTTGCCAATGCCAAAAAGGTCTACTACAGTAGGTTTACTCCACAAAAAAAAATCGAAAAAAGGAAATAACTTAAACTTTCTTATTTAGACACAACCGAGAAATTTACAGTGAACACAGTTTCACACGACACTCATCTGGATAAGGATGTGGAGGAATATCTGAGGAGCAGTTTCTCCTTCGAGATTGAGCTATATCTGTTTATCAAACAGCGACTCTACAAGCAGTATATAGCCGTGCATAAGAACGAATTTTAGTCGCCTTAGTACTGAACAGTATGAAATTTACCAAATTGAAATAAATACAGGGTTTTTACCAAATGATTTTACACCTAAATTTCAACTCGAGTCTTTTTCCCCTCTTTTCGCTACTAATCATTTGGAATAGCTTGGTTGCTTGTATTCACTCTCGTCTCTGCCATACCAGAATAAAAAATTATTCAAGGATGTCCAAAACAAAAACCTTTGCAGATCCTTCAGCTTAGTCCTGATAAACTCAACAATACCCCCAAGGCCGAAATGGATGTATTGTTTTTTAATCGCGTTCCAAAGACCGGAAGTACGCAGCTGATTCAACTCATGACGCAGTTGGGAAAAGTCCATGATTATGCTGTAGAAACCGATCACCATAGAGGAGGAATCATTCCTCTTTTGGATGCCGTTCAGGAAAGCGACATGATCGATAATATTGTTAACTTTGAGGATGGCCAGGCATTCGCCAGTCATGTGAATTTCCTTAACTTTACCAAACACGATCAACCCAAACCCATTTACATCAATATGGTTCGCGATCCCGTGGAGCGGGTGATCAGCTGGTATTACTTCATCCGAGCTCCGTGGATCTTTGTGCCTGGAAGAAGGCGTAATAATCGCGAAATGCCCAATCCCAAATGGGTTAACACCGAATTCGATCAGTGTGTTACAAGTGGTGAAAAGGTGTGCACCTACATCGAGAATTCTCTGCTGGAGCAAGTGGGCGATCATCGGCGACAGACATTGTTCTTCTGCGGTCACAATGAGTTCCAGTGCACGTGAGTTAGGCTAGCATACCCGCATTTTCTCTCAGTGATACCTGAAACCCCTATGTAGACCCTTCAATGCACGTCTGCCCCTGCAATTGGCCAAAATGAATGTGGAACGGGAATACGCTGTGGTGGGAACGTGGGAGCACACAAATGAAACCCTGGCTGTTCTAGAGGCCTACATACCCCGCTATTTTGCAGATGCCTCCAAAATGTATTACTGTGAGTTTTAGTGGGAGTTATAATGGATAAAAAATATCTTCAAAATCAAGCACAAAAAAACTAAAAACGAATCTTAGGTCCAAGTCTTGTAAATTTTGATTTTGAAATATTTCTTTCTATATAGTCTACAAAATTTGGAAAATGTGATAGAAAAATATATATCTTACAGCGGGTCTGAATACTGATAAGCGAAATGTTAACCCAATGAAGCCGCATATTTCAAAGGACATTATAGATATGGTTCGCCGGAATTTCACGCGTGAAATCGAATTCTATCAATTCTGTCGTCAGCGGTTGCACAAACAGTATCTTGCCATTAAGCTGAACGAACTCAAGCAGGTGGATAAATCGTTGGCCAGATTAAGTGAGGCCAAGGAAATGGCCATTATTAACTAGCTAATTTAAATGTACTTTAAAAAAAATAAATATGAGAGGAGAAATTAAGACTTTTCCTTTATGCCGAAATATTTTATCTTATAAATATCTTAAGGGTGAATACTTATTTCTGATTCTCTACTGCTAAAACTGAAGATGTGAAGGTAATGCCTCTCTGTAAGTCTACCACCATCTAAGGTTGCTTAGGTTTATTCTTCTGAAGTTTGGGAAAAAATAACTAAACTCCACATGGATTACTACGAACTTAAGCTCTTCTATTAACTATAACTATCGCTTTATAACCGAAGGAAGGAAAGCCAAACTATAATTTATTTGCTTCCCTGAACGAAATATTTTCTCGCTTACAATTCCAAAAGAATTGAAGAATTCTTAGGATCGCTGCTTACTAACCAAGCCAAAAATAGGATCAAAAGGCTGATCTTTCCCTTATTGAACTCCCGTATCAAATTTAGCTTAAGAACCTGAACCCAAATCGTTTGAACAACACAAAATATGCCGAGATTGAAGTACTGTTCTTTAATCGCGCCGCCAAAGTCGGAAGTGAAGCTATGCTGGAACTTTTCATTGCACTGGAAAAGTACAACGATGATCTAACACTAGAAAAACATGGTCTCCGAACCAGAGCCCATCGCCAAATGGACGAAATGCAGAGACGTGATTCCGCCGAATTCGTCGCCGATCTGGAGGAGGGTACCTTCTATATTGAGCATATAAACTGGCTGGATTTCGATGAATTCGATTTACCCAAACCAATTTACATCAATTTGGTTCGGGATCCCGTTGAGCGGGTTATCAGTTGGTTCTACTACGCTCGCAGTTCCTACAAGAATGCCATCGAGTACCAAAAGAAGCCGAATCTAAAAATTAAATCACAATCCTGGTACAAGAAGGACTTCAATGATTGTGTAAGAAGTGGAGATCCAGAGTGTCAATATGTACCGCATACTGTCAAGGATGCGTTTCCCAATTTTAAAAGGCAATCCTTGTTTTTTTGCGGTCACCATGATGATTGCATGTAAGTAGATTGGGATAGTAAGGAATTTTATGTTAATGGTGGTTTTTTAGTCCCTTTAACTCAGCGACTGCCGTGCAAATGGCCAAGGAGCATGTGGAACGGGATTATGCTGTAGTTGGCAGTTGGGAGGACACAAATATAACCCTAACTGTCCTCGAACAATATATTCCACGATTCTTTCGTGGGGCCAAGCTCATGTATGAAAGTAGGTCGTCACAATTCCTTTAATCTTTGAACATAGAACTCATTTTTTATACCAAATTCCAAAAACAGTGCACAATAACAAGATCACCAATCGGAACAAGAACAAACGTAAACCGTTTGTAGAGCCTGAGGTCAAGGAGATGATTCGCAAGAATTTTACCAACGAGTACGATTTTTATTATTTCTGCAAGCAGCGTTTGTATAAGCAGTACCTGGCCCTCAATCTGAAAGAATTGGAGAAACAAGGCCTTTTAAATTAGTTACAGTCCAACATTTAGATAATTGTAGGTGATATATATATGCGAACAAAACTTCATATCTCAATAAATAGTAGTCAGTGAAAACAGTAGATTAGACCCACACTTTCTTTACACGCTGAACCCATATCTGTGTCTTTTCGTTTTTGTTGTGTGGCTTGAACCTCCCTCACATGAAGCTTCTAAACCCATAACCTATCCCCAATTAGTTAGGTGACCTAACACCTCGACGACTGAACAATACAGCAAAGGCCGAAATGGATCGTCTGTTTTTCACAAGATGTGCCAAAGTGGGCAGCGAATCGCTGATGGAATTCATGGAGCATCTGCAGGATATCAACAACTTCCAGGTGGATAAATACGGAGTCAGCAAGAAAACGAAAAGACAACTAAAACCCCTGGCACAGGCTCAAACGGCTGGCTATGTTTATAATTTGGACGAGGGATCGGTTTATATAGAGCATATCCCTTGGATCGATTTCAATGAGTATAACCTGCCCAAACCCATTTTTATCAACCTGGTGAGAGATCCCGTTGAGCGCATGATCAGCTGGTATTACTACGTGAGGAACTCCTATCGGAATGCAGTGTACTACCGCAATAATCCTTTGGCTCCTCTTAAACCCACGGCCTGGTTTAAGAAGAGCTATAACGACTGTGTGAGAAGTGGTGACCCAGAATGCCAGTATGTTCCATTGGCAGTTCGCGATGTGGAGGGAAACTTTAAAAGGCAATCTATTTTCTTTTGCGGGCACGATCCGGACTGTTTGTGAGTGCTGTCAAGTCCTTGGTTTCTCATTGAAAAAGAAATCTCCCTAACACTTACCCCATTTCAGACCCTTTAACTCTCCCCTGGCTATTCAGATAGCCAAGCGTAGGGTTGAATCGGAATACGCAGTGGTGGGAACTTGGGAGGAAACTAACATAACTCTTACCGTTTTGGAGCACTATATTCCCCGCTATTTTTCTAGAGCTAAAATGATATATCACAGTAAGAAACCGCTAGTCTAAAATATCTCGATAGTTAGCATTCAAAAAACATCCTTTCTAGTGTATCAGAAGACCCTACAGAATCGCAATCGCAATAACAGAAAGCCAATGGTGGATGAAGATGTCAGGGCCATGGTCAGACGAAATTTCACCCATGAATACGATTTTTACTACTTCTGCAAACAGCGTCTTTATACGCAGTATTTAGCCCTTAAGCAAAAGGAATTGGAACGACTGAATTATCCCTAATTTCTTAGACTGAACTTTCTTTAGTAATTGACTTATTCTGTAGTTTGTTAATAAAGTACTCCACAAGTAATTGTAACTAACATGTAAGGCAACTTTTAGGAAACCGTAGCTAAGCCCAATCCTTTCTATATAAATCGCAGCTTGCTTCGTTGAGCAGTAAAAAGTTGAATAACACTCGACATTCTAAGCTGGAGGTGATCTTCTTTAATCGCGGTGCTAAAGTTGGAAGTGAGGCTTTGATGGAACTCACCCAAACAATGGCTCCCTATAACAACATGAATGTGGTGACCAAAGGGCCAATAAATATCAATTCCCGTACGAGAACGCCTGGAGAACGAATGATACAGGCCATTTGGGTGACCGAGCTAGATCCAGGCACTATATACATAGAACACTGCAATTGGTTGGACTTCCCTAGATATCAGTTACCAAAACCCATATATATTAACTTGGTTCGCGATCCCGTGGAGCGGATGATCAGTTGGTACTACTACGTTCGCAGTGGCTATCGCAATGCCATCCACTTTCGAAAATTTCCAAACGCGACAATTCAATCGGAGAAGTGGTTCAAGAAGAGCTATAACGATTGTGTTCGTAGTGGTGACCCCGAGTGTCAATATGTGCCTGGAAGTATTAAAGAGGCGGTGGGTAATTACAAAAGACAGTCCCTCTTTTTCTGCGGTCATGATCGGAAGTGTTTGTAAGTAGTTTTCATTCTCTAAGAAAAAACCTCAAGTGCAGAGTATTTTCAGACCCTTTGACTCCCAACACGCCATTCAGCTGGCCAAATTACATGTGGAGCGAGATTATGCAGTGGTTGGAACTTGGGAAGAGACTAACATAACCCTAACCGTTTTTGAAGCCTACATCCCACGGTTCTTCAAGGGAGTCAGGAATATCTTTGAGTGTAGGTTGCAGTCATTTTTGTGGCCCACATGTATAGTTGATTTAGACACTTGAACACTTTTAAGTTGGCAAACTCCTGGGATAGTTTTCGAACTTAGTTAGTTACACCATCTACACTCTGTGTTTCATTCACCCACCCATTTGTGTTTTGTTTTCTGGTCATTTAATGAAGCCAACAAAAATTCCCGACCTTCCCAGCTTGGAAGGGTGACCCCAATGAATTTGAACAAAACTCGATTTGCGGGCGCCGACTTAGTGGTCTTCAATCGACCAACTCGAGTGGACAGTGAGCAAATGGTGCCACTTCTGAGGCAGCTGGCCGCTATGAACGACATAAATGTAGTGCTCAATGGACCTGTAAGAACCATGAACAGAACTCGCACTGAAAAGGAACAATTAACCGAATCGGAATGGGCCAGTGAACTGGAGGGTGGATCGATCTATATGGCCCACTCCAATTGGATAGATTTTTCAGGATTTGGATTGAAGAAACCTATATATATATCCCTAGTGAAGGATCCCATCGATCGAATGGTTACTGATTTCTACAAACGACGATCTTGGGTGAAAAGAGCTATAAATAGGCGAACGTATCCAGGACGTCGTGAAAAACCTGAAGAGTGGTATCGGGAAAGTTTTAATGAGTGTGTGAGAAGTGGAAGCCCCGAATGCCGCTTTGTCCAATATTCAGTAGCAGATTACATTCAGGACTTCAAAAGACAATCCCTTTACTTCTGCGGCAATGATGCCGATTGCTTGTGAGTAGTTGAAGAGTCCGCTGAATTAAACTTCAAAAGTCATTCCCCTTTTTAGACCCTTCAATTCGCACTATGCTATCCAAGTAGCTAAACAAAGAGTGGAGAAAGAATATTCTGTGGTGGGCACTTGGGAAGAGAGAAACATAACACTGACTGTATTGGAGAAATACATTCCCAGATTCTTCAATCATGCTCGTTTCTTGCATAAATGTAGGTAGTCCCAGGGTTTAAACTAAAAGTGTTCAAGTACCATCAGCAAAGTATCGAGTGTCATCAAATTATCTTTTACAGTGCACAGCAAAAGTATACGCAATCGGAATCGCAATAATCGCAAACCCCGTATAGATCCCGATGTTAGGGCGATTGTGAGACGGAACTTTACCAACGAATATGAGTTCTACTACTTCTGCAAGCAGCGCTTGTATAAACAATATTTGGCTTTACAATTCGAAAATAATCTTCATTAAGAGGCTATTCCTAATAATAATACAACTGAATAAATAAAACAATTTGTACTTTTACAATATCATACTTGAAAATAATTTTAGAGGGAGGATATAAAAATAAACAATTAAGTACTAATTGTATTTATGCAGTAAAACAAAATTCTATAGATTTAAGGAAGTACTACAAAGAATCTTAAAGACTGGGTAACTGTTTTTATAATAAATTCAATTGCATTAAAAAATATTTTGCTCAGGTATTTTTATTTTGAAAGTCCCACAAAATATTAGAAACCCCTCTTTTACTTTAAATGCATATCAAACACCAAGGATCTGAAGGTAAATGAAAGCAAAAATATAATACAAATTAAACCATATTCTAATTAATTTTTTGTTTTCTTCTTAAATCCCTTATAAGATGTCCTCGCTTAATGTGAGGGATCTGAATAACACCCGCAAGGCACAAATGGAACTGGTCTTTTTCAATCGAGTTCCCAAAGTGGGAAGCCAGACGTTCATGGAGCTCCTTCGTCGACTTTCCGAGCGAAATAATTTTCAGTTCCATCGCGATGCTGTCCAAAAAGTGGAGACCATCCGATTGGCGGAGGACCAGCAGCAGGAAATGGCCGAGGTGATCAGTGAGCTACCCGAACCCTCGGTATTCATCAAGCATGTGTGCTTTACCAACTTCACCAAGTTCAACCTGCCCAAACCCATTTACCTAAATGTGGTTCGCGATCCCGTGGAGCGAGTAATCAGTTGGTTTTACTATGTGAGGGCTCCTTGGTATTTCGTGGAGCGCAAAGCTGCCTTTCCCGATCTACCATTGCCCCATCCTGCATGGCTTAAAAAGGATTTCGAAACATGTGTGCTCAATGGTGATCAGGAGTGTACCTATACTCAAGGAGTTACGGTGGAGGGAATCGGCGATCATCGCAGACAGAGCTTATTTTTTTGCGGTCACGATTACGAGTGCACGTAAGTTTACTTATAGAAAATAGGGAAATTTACTTTGTAATTTTACTTATTTAAGAATTTGGTATGAATTTTTGCAATCCATCTAACATTCTGTATTCATGTTAAGTAAAAACAATTTATAATACAATTTAAATTTGTAGACCCTTTAACACTCTTGGTGCCCTGGAACGAGCGAAATTTGCCGTGGAGCAGCAATATGCTGTTGTTGGTGTGCTGGAAGATCTGAACACCACACTGTCTGTTCTCGAAAAATATGTGCCTCGATTCTTTGAAGGTGTTCGAGATATTTATGCAAGTAAGTTGATTGCGCTTAAATAGCCAATTTAAGTTAGATCGTTGCACTGTCAACTACAGTCAAAAGAAAACATGCCATAAGCATGTGATAATATAAACAATTCTTTGAATGGCCTAAAGTCATTGCTTTGAAATATTAAAGCATAATGGAAAAAACATCATATTGAAATATTGGAAATAAACGTTTTCTATTGTATGATTATTCATTTTTTTTAAGTAATATAATAATTTTTCAATTTTTCATTGTGTAAGTGCAGCTGAGCTATGCCTAAGTGCAGACACTTAGAGAACAAAGCAATAAAATCAAGGGGAGGCACTTGAGTTTAATACAATGTTTCAACACTTACAATTGATTTCGTTTACTGAAGATTTATAAATTGCTGACCACATCTTTGATTTTGCTTTTCTCATCTTACAGCCAGCGCCGAATATTTGACCAAGATCAACAAGAACAACTTTAAGCCGCCGGTCAGCGAACATGTTAAGGATATAGTGCGTCGGAATTTTACGAATGAGATCGAGTTCTATCAGTTTTGCCGCCAGAGACTTCACAAACAATATCTAGCTGCCCACTTACCACAGCGAATTATCACAGACTCAGCTCATCTGCCCGGCCTGATTGGCAATTAAATTGTATACTTAGTATAACTCGAACAAATGTAGAAACAAATATGACAAACAAAATCGTACTCGAACATGTAGTCAGCTAAGTTCCCCATTATATTATAGACAAATTATTGTTTTCTCTTGTGTATATTTCAGTGTGGTTATCAAAAATATGACAGATCCATCTTATATTTATATTGATTAGTAAGTACTTAATGTTAGAAAGACCTGAATTTGAATTGTGATGTCTTCAAGTGAACTGTTGAAATTTTTGTTTTAGTATTCTAATTATAAGACGATTATGATAATACGCTGTATAAACTAATAAACGAATATTCTAAGACCACTTTTCTTTTGTACCGTTGTGACTATTAAATGGAAAACAGAAAAACGAATAACTTTGCATAACTGATGAAATCAACGATATTTAACAAAATAACAGATAACAAAATGTGAATGCAATGGTTACTTTCGCAATGCCCAGCGCAACCTTACGAGTATTAATACATACTGTCAAAGAATATAGTTTAATAAAAAATAGATAGCAAAATGAAGCAAAACAATAACATACGTTTGGTTGACGGCTTTAACATGAATGAATATATGAACTGGGAATTCTTTGTTTGAGTTTTTACTCTAACTTATAGCACTTGTTGATTATTGTCGGGTTCACGCATCGATTAATTGGACGCTTCTTGCTGCAAATAAAAAACTATTAACTATAAATGTATTTTTACTGAGTTGTTATTTTTATACCGCTTGTTGCCAAAAAAAGCGAAAGCCTCTTCTGATTTCATAGCCTCCCAAGCTACAGGTATTCTTCTGTTCACACGTATGATGTTTGATTCGGAACAGTCATTGCCGGATACTTCTATAATTCGTTGCGGCTCTCTTAAATATCTCGATATGGGATCCATTTCAATAATATTTAAAATATGATCATCATGTAGTTTAAGCCAATCTGGGTCCTTGGATCGAATGTTCAATAGTTCTGGGGCCAAACGTTGTACTGCATTGACAAAAATAACATCCATCGCACATGTCAGGGGACATTGATAAGCAGCAATATGAAGACGCGTTCTTGCCTCGAACAAGCGGTATATGCGATGATAATCCTGGTACCGATACTCTATGCGTTGGCCATCTGCCGATATGCGGGCCTTAAGAAATACATCATCAAAATCCATTTCGGCTGAGCTGAGAATTTGCAAGCGTTTGTTATCACGCCGCAGATAATCCCATTTATCGACATCTAATCCGCAGCGACGATTATGAACAATATCAAAGATATAGGTATGACCCATCATGGGAAACGAAAGGGAGTCACTGCTCCCGAGGATCAGAGCTTTTATCAATTGAACTCCCCTGCCACTTCCATCTTCCCTCAAGGAGACCAGCTCCTGATTAGAGGCATCATTGAAAATAAGATCCACACAGGCTAAGGCGTTCTCCTCGTGCTAAAAAAAAGGTGGAAAAATTAATCCTTGTCAAATAAAATGTTGGTATATTCGTGATTGACTCTGATATATCTTGAAAGGATTTCTGTAACACAATTAAAATAACTTACATTAAATTGATGATGACTTAAAAGCTCCCAGACATGTGACATCGGTCCATGTCCAATATCGTGAAGAAGGGCGGCTATCTCCACTGCCTGACGACACCAATCCGGAAGTTTTGGCTCATAATGCGAATTTCGTTCGATGGCCCTCAGGTGATCCTGGGCACTTTTGTAGGCCCTTAAAACGTATAAAAATATTTATGATTATATCTTAAATTTGTGTAGTATTTTCTTTCCTTTACCCAAGGCAATGATCGTAGCGCTTGTGATTAGCTTTCTTATCGACTGACCACGGTATAAGACCCAATTGATGAACCTGCTTTAGACGCTGAAACAGAGGATGCTCCACTATTTCTTGTATAAGGCCGGGCAGCTCAATTACTCCGTGTACCTCATCTTCAATAAGCATCTAAGAAATTTTAAATTGTAAATAGAAACTTTATTAGTCTAAACGAAGAAAAATTTAACATCATTTTTGTAAACGGATGTTAACAGCGGATATATAAGTCGTGAAATTCAAATAAGAGTGTTCCATATTGGTTTATTTTCTTTCGGTGCCACTAAAAATGGACAAAAACAACAAACTGTTTTTATGGTGTCAACTCCAGGACTTTGTAGAGCTATGTTTATTATTTTTCAAGTGCTAAGTTTATGGTTTATTTGAGCTGGGTGAAATCCGATTCGAAAGGCGGTTCTTTTCGACAATTTTTTTTTTGATTGGAGTGTTGGAATTTATGGTATACGATTCAATTGGTTGAGTAGAGAATTTATGAAATTTTAGACTATTTTTGATATAAAAAACTGAACTTAAGAAGGTTGTGAACTTAAATCAAAAAATCTATTACATGTATCCATATAAAGCCCTTAAACACTTTCATGATGTACAATATTTTTGACCGGCTTTAAATAAATTTGAATATTTTCAAGATTTTTGAAATAGCACGATAACAATTTATCCGTTATTTTTCCTAGTGCAAACAGCTGTTTTAGTGGCGAAGTTTCCTTAGCAACCGACAACAAAAAGTGGGGGAAAACTTACCGATTGTTGTCCATGTTGTTGTTGTTGTTGCTGAAGAAGCGGGCATTTCAAGTTTGTTGAGTCGAGGGGAATGGGGAGGGGGCGCCGACGCTGTACGGGGGAACGAATTACAGCGCTGGTAGACATTCTAAACGGATTCCTGTTTGTCGACAATCCGCGTCCGAAATAAAACCGAAAATGCGAGCAGCACGTCGTTTTGAATGTTGTCTTCCCGCCGATTTGTGCTTTATAAATTATATCAGGAACGTCATTACAAACTTTATGGCGAATTTTTGATTCGTCAAGCACACAAACACAACTGTAAGTAAGGGGAGAACAGCTGTTTCGACCCATCGGTTATCGGCTATCGACTAGGGCTGCTACAAAAGTATCCAAAATTGGCGCGTTTTTTCAAAATGTAAGTTTTTTACTCATAGTTTTAGGTAAGCTACCAGTATATAGGAAATGAGAAATAAAAATTTAATAAAAACATTAACAATTTTCTTAGTACGTTGGAATGGCTAAAAGATACATAAATTAATAGTTTGGCATTTAAAAAAACCTGAGACTCTGAGGTATTTTATAAAAAAATACTTAAATAACTAAAAGATAATATTAAATAAATAAATAATTTATATACATAAGACAGCAGCGTGGTTAAAAAAAAGAGGAAAAACAGGCGACACCTAGGCGGACTGCGGCGTAACCTACTCCAATGGTTTGTTTCCCCGCTATTCGGTTTTCTGCTATATGGTTAATTCTAATTGTCAATCAAAATGAATTTTAATTCCTAATTCCAATCTTTTTTATACATGAAAAGAATTATATTATAATAAAGTCACATAAAAAACACAATTATTCAGGCCATAAATTTAAAAATTAAATATTTCTTAAATAAATTATAAGAACAAAACAAACCAAATCAGTACAAAGTGCGTTAACAATTCCTGTTAAACATCCCTAAATTAATGTGTTATTTACTTAGTATATGTGAAAAATAGTTAAAAAACTTCTTAAACTAAATTTAATTTAAATTTTTTTGGAAAATCATATTAAATACTTAAAAAACTTATTTTTAGATTTACAAAAAATCGTAAAACGGCTTTTTAGAGCGAATGTTTTCATACATTTTTTTCATTGGCTAACCGACTAATTAGACACCCGATTAAAATTAAATTGCAGTTAATTTATTGTCATATGAATAACAAAACTAATTTAAAGCAAATAATAGGGTGTCTTCCTATATTTTGGAGAATTTTCTGTGATATTTTTCGGGAGCGGTGGAAAAAAGAGGGTCGGCACGTGGCTCAGTTAGCGTGGAAATTGTTTTCGCTGAGAGCGCCGTCGCATTGAAGTGAAAGCGAAAGTTTTCTGCTGACCTACAGATGAAAGTGGCACAACAAAGAGACATTTTAAGGAAAAGAGAAGCCAAGAGAAACCGGCCAAAGAGTAAATATATTTTTATTTTTGTATCTGCAACGCACAGAAATGCAATTTCCATTTAGGTGAATTGCAATTTCTGCATCTTCTCGCAAAGTTCACCCAGCAGTCAACGCACTTTAAAAATAACAAAGACTACTTTACAAACAAATATTTTACATTATCTTACAGTTGTGTACCTCAGTTTATCGTAGATGTGCTTGTGAGTTGAACAATTAATAATATAATTAAACAAAAACAAACATCGAGCAAACAATTTAGGTATGCAAATATAAACAAAAAACAAAAATGTTCAAAAATGCCGGCTTCACAGTTGACCAGGTGGAGCGATAAAGAGAATAAAAGTCTAGAGAAATCGAGAGGCATTGAGAGCGTAATTCAAACAGCAAACAAATGCTGCACAGTGGTATTTGATAGAAAATAAATAACGTTAAATAAGTTATAAGAACCATACAATAAGTCAAAACAGATCAAAATACATTAACAATTCCTGTCTAATTGAAGATTTCTAAAATACTGTGCTATGTATGTTGTATGAATTTTTTTAGATACAAAAATGTACCTTTACTGAAGCAATTATTACAAATTAAGAAGGAAAAGTAATAATCATATTGACTTCCTCTTTTTTGTACCCTTACAGATTAAATCAAAATTAAAGTGAAAGCTTTTAGTTATTAAATGTTTAGATATATGTAAAAGAATGTTCAGATATATCTTTAAAAAAATGTACTTACTGCTTAATTTGAGAAATTATACTAATCAAATAAGTAAATATAAATATGGTGGTCAGCCACCACTGTCCATCACTTGAAGTGTAGTCTCTCAATTGTGTGGCTCTCTCTTATCGCTGACATTTAGAACCAAGCTATATTATATCTAGCAGAACCACCCAAAAGCCACCCACTGAGAGTGAAAATTCCCGAGAGAATTGGCCAGAGAATGAGAGCGAAAGTGCGGGGCCTGAAAAGTTGCAACTTTCTGCGATTCCTGCCTCAGTTGCCACACGACAGGAGGGCCAAACGGGCGATTCGAGAGGTATAAGACTAGGCTAAAGCCGTATCCCTCAGATACGATAGACGGATTGGCAAATTAATAATAATTAAACCGCTGCGTGACTAAAGCCCCCTCTCCCCCAAATATACCTCTCCTCTCCACGGATTTGGCAAGCAAAAAAAAAATAAATAAACGAAATAATTCTCGAAAATCTTTGTATCTGTGTATCGGAGAACTGAAAAGAGGCCGCCGTTTGGCGCTCTCGCATCTCAGCTGCCAGTGGGCGAAAGACGCAACTGCTGCGACCTTGCAATGCCCTTGAATGACACTCTTATTGCGACCAAGTCGCCAACGTTGCCACTCCAACGGGCGCTGCTGCCACGGCTGCCACTCAGCGCAGGCGGAAATAAAAATAATAATAATAATAATACTAGATAAAATATACATAAATATAGAAGGCAAAAAACCAAAACACTCCGCTGAATAAAAGTGAAAATTTTATCAACATCAAACAAAAATTTTCGCGTGCCTTCGTGAAAGCCGAATAATCCCGACGAATCCTTTACCAAAAGCCTTAACCCAAATAATAAAACCAGTGTGTGCTAAATAAAAGCAAAACAAAATAACATTTTATAGCAAATTGTCATTCATACTAAAATTAATAAGAAATAAAGCCAAACATATCTGAAAAATCCGACGAAAAGAAAGTGTTATCTAACTAGCGCCCCCTGGCGGCAAGGTGTATCTGAGTGTGTGTGTGCGGCGAATAAAAGTGAAAGTTCTCGACTGGCGAGAATATCCTTCGGTAACCTTTCTCCCCCAAAACTGGGGTCACTTCCTTTGGCATCTAAACATAAACGACAACAGGGCACGCAATAACCAAAAAGTGGGGACTTTTTGCATATATAGTAAATACATATATATATAGCCAGAATCGGTATATGTGGGCGATATTTATGCCACAACTTTTGACAAGCAATTCTTTTTATTGCTACGCCGACGAGCGCGAGAAAAACGCTGGCAAAGGCCAAAAAGGAAACGCCTTGGAATAATATTAAAACATCAGGTTGGTAAATCAAAATAATTATAAGAAATCCCATATATAAGTGACATAATAAAGTGCGTATTTTATACATAACTTTGCGTGATGTATTATCATTACATGACATTAATTGATGCTGCCCGCAATTATCCGTCAGATACATTTGTCATTGGCTTTGCCACTTAAAGTCAAAGCTTCATATGCTGAACTGGACATGGAGTTTTCGCCATTTATTATTAACATGAACTAAACTTAAAAGTCAGAACAAGTTCAATTGGGTAAAAGCTCAGAGTGTTCAAGAATTATACCAGACTAAAACAATCAATTAATTAACTGCATGTAATACGAATATACGTAAAGTGGAACATAAAGTTGATCAACTGGTTTTTTAACTAGTATTTTATTTACTTTCATATATAATCAAGAAGAAACAATGAGATTTTAATTAAATGATATAACAACTACTTATTGAACGTAATGCTTATAGTAAAGACAATAAACATAGTCTATAATATAAAAAATTATTTCAATTCAAAACTTCTTAGTTTAAATATAACAATAACCCACATTTGTCCTTTGCTGAATCAATATCATGGAGTTCTAACATCCTTTGAGCACATTTTCTTGGCTACCGCAATCAAAACAAAACAATCCAAATCTCGTTATCACAACAATCAAAACAAGTCAAGACAATTCGCAAACCTCGGGTCCCCAACAATAACCATAAAAATGGGAAGCGAAAGCTAGTTGAAAGCAAAAGTATCCCCAAAGTATCTTTGTGTCTGTAACTGAGTTTTCCACTCGTTTTTGCCTTTCACGGTGCTTGGCTTTGTTTGCTTTTGACATTTAGTTCGGTAGCAATGTCATACAAATATAAATAAAAAACGTCCACGCGCTGTTGAAAAGCAAAAGAAAAAACTTGGAATATGGAAACCACCCACATCCGAACACACGCACTCACACATCCGCACGCAATGTATCTGATAGATAGGAAAAATTACTGAAAGCTAATTAGCGCTTCAAACGAGGCTCGTGTAATCCACTTGTATTTCATATCGATTGCGTTGAAGTTCGATTTTTTCGGGGGCCGGATTCCAAAATCCAAAAACCCGGGAATGAGCAACATGCGCCTGCCTAAATATCAGCTAATTCCCCTTTAACATTATATATTATTAATTTTGGTTTATTTATAAATGAAAAAGCCAGTCAGCTGTTGCGGTTTGTTGATGGGTGGAACACGTATCTATAGAGCTCTTTTCATTGCGTGGGCGGCACTTGCCGGTCAAGAAAAAAATAGTCTGAATAGAACTCATGCTAATGATATATGCGACAGTGAATGACAGCGGGAAAATGTTCCCTAATGATACTACTTTAGATCTATAAGCTGATCAATTCAAGTAGGTGTTATTCTTATTCAAATAAATTATTCCGATTAATCTGAAAAGGGACTTTAAGCCCTTAAAACAGTTTATTCAATTATTTAGATTACTTAACTCATAGATATTATTTTTAATCCAAACTCATTAAATTAATTTTGTTTAATACATTTGTATAGCTATTTAGGTTTTTATTACCTCACTGTAATCACTTAAAAGTCGTTCAAATATTTAATTAGTTACAAAGGGATTTTGATAATCTCATAAAGATTTAATTAACCAATTTGAATTATTTACATAACAATTTATCTCATCAACACTCTTCAAATTCATAATTAATTGCCTGTTGAGACAACTTGTTTGCTTTGTAGAACAGTTCAATGATCCGCTTAGCAATCTAATCACCTTCGGTCTCTCCTGTCACCCATCAATCTAACTGAAGTCTTCACTACTGCTTAATCAGGATTACAAACTGTTCCGGCGCCAAGTCCAAACACAAACAAATTAGTTACCTAATCTCATGCTTAACCAACAAATGCGACAAACCGTCCACTGATTAGGCTCATATCGAATGGCTAAGTTTAGCATATATATATATCGGTATATATAATCCTACAATCACAGCGGGCAGTCAGGCAAGGTTTTCCAAAGCCCACGGGGTTTAAGTGATAGCAAATATCAAACGCTGATAGTTTATCTGTGGGTAACACAGTTGAATTGGCTAAAGCAATATGATACAGTACTTACCAATTTATTGCAGTTAAGGAAATCCGTTAGTTGATTTGCCCCATGCGGAATAAACAACACCCTATAATAATCATAGAGCTTTGATTTGATGTGTTTGCAAAAAGAAAAAATTAATTTTTTTGATCACAAAAAGAAGAAGTACTAAGAATTTTTTAGCAACGAAAATCATTAAATATTCAAAGATTTTATAAACTTTTGATTCATGATTTAGTTATTTTTATCAGCATTTTATTTTATCATAAATGTTTTATCTATAGTATATCAAACATTTACAGTGTCTTAATAGTCTTAACATATTTTAATTTTCATAAATTCATTATGAACAAAAATAAATGTTCAGAATTAAGTATTGAAAAGAAATAACAATAAATCTCCTAATAACTTTAAAAATGTACCATGGCAATAATAAGTATTATTTTATTAAACATAACAATTTAAATTAAAACTATGTCGGGTGGTGTAATACTCCCATTTGGAAAAGGGCACTCGAATGAGCAGTTAGCTGCAATTAAGATTGAGACAGACATCCGAGGTTGCGACGTCACTGATCACGAGCATCTGTCTATAGCATCGGCTGTCTGCCAGAATCGAGAATCTAGAGTCGAGAGTTGGGAGGGGAGAGGGGAGAGGGGCGCTGCAGTTACCTTTTAGGATGCACTGCGATTACAGATATATAGAGGCACAGTTACAGATACAGATTCCCGAGGAGGCGGATACGGATGCGGGGTGAGTGCAATCTTGCTTGAGGGCAGTGTTTGGCTGCGATTTGCGATTTCGCTCCGCTGCGCTTCGATTTCGATTCGATCATCCATCGCAGCATCGCATCCCATCCCATCCCATCCGATCCGATCCGTTCCGATTTTGCCTTATCAATCAGGGTGGATTTGCTGAATGCCAAAAACACAACAAAAAGATCGGTGGGTAGTCAGTGCATGCCCGACACCGTGACGCTGCAGACGTGGTGCAGTTCGAGTGCTATTTCGGTGGTTTCCTTCCATTTTTTGCTGACTCGAAAGGCCGAGGAATTTTATTATTTATAATTATTAAAATCCTTAAAATAAAATCGGTTATTTCATCGTCGTCTAGTGTAAGTGAAAGAGTCCACAATAGAATGCTATTGTGAGAGAAGCGTTCGCGGTTCGCGGGTCATTTGTGATTGCTATAAATAAAATTGCAAATTCGTTATCACGCCTCATAATCGAGACTCCGCCGCAACATGATTAAGTGAAACCACCCGCCCCACCACCCAAGCCACCCAAGCCACCCACTTACCCACCCATCGCCCACTGGCAAATATCATGTGTGGTTCAGGTGATAAGCCGGCGACCGGTAATAAAAATATAGTGCCAGTTGTAGGCCTAGAAACATCCAATCGAACTATTTTAATGGTGTGAACAGCTAATGGCGCATCTATCTCTGGACCAGTGACTAACTAATTGACATGACAAATGCAACTGGGAGATGCAGTTGATAAGATTGTCTGTGTGTGTATATTTTTTGAGAGAATGCCAGTTTATAAATAAAATACATGTGATTTTTGCCCCGTTCCTTTAAAACGTATAATTTTAAAAGTCTAAAAGTCAAGTTTTTGGTTTGTTAGAGTCCTACTAATTTTGTCTGGAATTAAAACATGCGAAGATCTTAAATAGTATTTACTTTTAAATGCAGGAAAGAATATTTTTAGGAAATTTGTTTTACAAATCTTTATTATAATCAGTATTATTATATTAATATGCGGTTTTACATTTTTTTATAATCTATGACAATAGCTTGAAACATACTAATAAATGGAAAAATACTTGTGAAAGCCTCTTAGCTCTTGTGAGTACTATAAAAGTATTAAAAATTATATTTCATCTTATTTAAATACAATAACATGAAAATTGTATAGAATTGGCACCTTAACAGCACCTTGACTTCATCTTACAAACATCGAATAGATGTGAGCCAATCAAGCATAATTCAAATATATTTTTTATTGCGTGAGTCGTTGGGGTGTCCACTTTAATATCAATTTCGTACATTTCCCCCAATTTAATTCAATTAAGCGGCTTTATGGGTGTCTCCTCATTCAGTGCGTGTATCTACTTAAGTCAAATACTTGAAGCATAAGATACTTTTGCAGTTACGCAGTTTACAGTCAAAACAAAGCGTAAATTCGCCAAGCGAAAAATGTGAGAAAATCGCAAATAAAATAGGAAAATATAAGAAGAAAAAAAACGGAAATGTTACTTTGGCCGTAAAATAGAAGTCAAAGACATATGTTGTCTTAGATTTATTTATAGATTTCGTGTTCATGTTATTTATTTTCATTTCTTTTTTCTCTACATATATTTTATTTATAAAATGTGAGCTTGAGACGCTGCATTAGCAATTATTATTTATATAGCAAACGTTTTAAAATATATTTGAATTGAATAAGATTAGAGAATTGCTGAATAACTGAGAGACTAAAAAATAAAGGTAAATATAGACTATATATTTTTATTGAATTTATATGACTCCTGAAGTATTTTTATTATATTCTCGGACGTTTAATTTATTTTGAATGGTTCCTTAATTTGGCATTTAATGAGTACAAGCGTAATTAAACAAGAATAAAGCACTTTTGATTTTAAATGTATCCTTTCGTTTTGTAATGTTCTTCTTGACCCAACGTCATTAGCGCCCAAAACGCATTTAGCCAGTTGGCCGAAAGCCAAAATAATATCCAATTTATCTATAAGCTAAAAAAATGAATAAAGGTACCGGGCTGCAAGGGATGTCTGTGAATCATGAAATATCTGCCATAAGTGGCATCACCTCATATGCAGTGGCATCTGTATACTTTATAGCTACAAACAGACCTGCATTCTTTCATTTAAATTTAAGGAAATTTTAAAGAGATCGGCATTTTGACCTCCTTAATCGATCGATTGTCAGACGATCGTTTGTTTATTTAAAACTTTGTCGACGCCATTTGGCGAGGGAAAATATTTCAATTCAATCTTTGTACTTCTTTTTACTCGATTTACTGCTTAATTAAATTTCCTATGCATGCTGCCAAAAATAAAAAGTAAAATACATAAAACCAAAAGAGACGGAAAATCAAAATAGACAAAAAATAAATGCCGCGAAAAGTTCAAGGCCAATTGACTTTGTCTCGTCTCGATTGGCGCATCTAATTTCGAAAGAATAAAAAACTCTGATGTCTTAATGGGGCGGCACTTCCTCTCTTAATTAAATCGCCTTCTCGCTCTAATTAAATAGATCCATTAATGGGCGTGGCTTGGCTTTGCACCTGATCAAAGGTAAAGCACGTGCAGCCATCGCAAAATGAAAACAATAATAGTGCCATTTGCCAAGAGCAAAAAGAGAGGTGTTAACAATTTGTTATGGTCACCCGGTTCATTGGGGAATTACATTGACATCCCTCGTGGGACAAACTATCACGGGTTTTCTTTCATCACCTGACTTTCAACAAAGAAACATTTTAATTTTTCATCATTTTCAAAAGTATTACAAGTTGTTTCAAAGTCAATCATAACAGTTAAATAAACTGAATTGTTCCGGTGAGAAAAAATATTTTTGAATTTAAGAGCATTTTACCTCCTTTTACTACCAGATACTATACAAATCCATAGTTAATGTATATCGTCTTCATATGTTCTTAAAATCATATAAATTCAAAAGCAAAATTATGACCTAATTGATTTTTGAATAGTTTTCGTAAAACTTATTTAGGATTAAAAACAAATTTGAATCGACTATTTAATCTTTTCCAAATTCCTTTCGCAGAGGTCATTAAAAATTTACTCAGAAATTGACACCCAAAAATTAAATAATGTTATTTCTGCAGAATTCTTCGCATTTAACCGAAATATTTCTTCATTAGACTATTTAAATCATCAAAAAATAAAACCAAGACAACGAAAGAGAAATGAAAAATGTGCTGAGAATAATAAAAGTAGATATACTGAATAAAATATTTTCCCAGCTGTTTTAAAATGCCACCGAAAAGATTGGAAAGCGGAAAGGGAAAGTGATGAAAAACAACATTTCGTGTGAATTTATTTGTTTACTTAAAAATTGTTCATCGTGTATCAATATATCATTCACGTCATATATCCCGATGGTACTCTATTTGCAGATATTCCGCAGATCGGTTGCATTAGACACGACTGTGAGCTGACGTGACGTAAATGAACGATCCCGGCGATATACCACTGACACACACGAGCACGCCGGACAGCAGGCCGCCCTGCAGCATCATCTCCATCATACCCACCATCGGGATGTCCTCGTGCCGCGGAAGAGCCGAGGCATTCGCGCGGAGTCTGTCCTCCAAGCTGCGCACCTTGGGATCACAGGTGAATATCTGTTTTATTAAATAAATAGATAAAGAACTATAACCGAAGTTCCATTACTCAAAAACCGATTAACAAAAATATCATGTTTATAAAATCTAACTTAAAATCGCATATACCAACTGACTAAGCCCATTATCATATGTCTATTGTGGTTTCTCAAGATTCTTTCATATATAATATAAGAGGTTATGCCAATGTTATCTATTATTTTACTAAATATATATTTTTGTTTTGCTTCCGAAATATTAGATATCTTATTAAAAACCGAATTTTTGCAGACAACCGAGGAGGGCGAGGGCAATGCGGAGGATGAGCCCATCATCAATGGAACCAGCACGAACACGTGGGTTAACTCCCACGACTCGGAACAGACGGTGACGGATCTGCAGCCACTGCGCCATGAATCGGACTCCTTCTTCGACTTCGACTGCGAGCTGGAGTCGCCGGGAAGTCCGGTGGACGAGTGCGAGTACCTGCGTCTGATCGAAACCGCCTCGAATACGCCGCACAACTCGACGGCGGAATCGGGCTACGCCTGCGCTTCAATGGCCAGCAGTCACAGCAGCAGCACCGATGGCCCCTACTTCGATGCCACTGCATCCGGATCGGCATCCGCACCCGCATCCGCATCCGCTTCCACATCCACAGCTGCAGCTGCCCAGGACCAAAAGCTGCCAGCCTCGGAACTCAAGGATTATGTGAATACGCTACAAATAAACGGAAGGCATGGACTGGTCAATGGATTGGATGAGAAGGAGCAGCCATCTGGCCAGGATGCGACTCAGCAGGAGGATGAGGCCTTCTTACAGGCCCAGATCCTCAGTGAGCTGCAGCAACATAGCATCAGTTTGCGAGTCGAAGAGGAGAAGCTCACCAATGGGCATCTGGAGGATGTAAAGGAACTGGAACTGGATGAAGTTTTGGAGGTAGCTGGTACTACAAACAGAGCTCCAGAGGTGGAAGCACATAAAGAAGTTTCTACTGAGAGGGTTGAGGAGTTAGCCTCCAGTAAGATAACTCAAGAGGAAACCCCCTACGACAGAGTTCAAAAAGAAAGCTCCCAGGAGAGGATTCAAATAGAAACCTCGGAGGAGAGGGTTCAAAAAGAAAGCTTCCAGGAGAGAGTTCACGAAGAGGTCCTTAACGAGAGGGTTCAAGTCCAGGAAGAAACCCCCAATAACAGAGTCCAAGAGCAAACCTCCAATGACAGAGTCCAAGAGGAGACCCCCAACGAAAGGGTTCAAGAGGAAACCTCCAATGACAGAGTCCAAGAGGAGACCCCCAACGAAAGGGTTCAAGAGGAAACCTCCAATGACAGAGATCAAGAGGAAACCCCCTACAAATCTCCCACAGACACCTCCTCTGACAGAACCCCCACGGAGGAAGCCTCCTCCCCCGACAGGACAATTCAGGAAACCAGAGACGTGGAACTCTCGCCGGATAGTGGTGTAGATGAAACAGACAAATCGGCCAGCAATCTCACCGTAAACGTGGATCTGGCCCAAATCGAACAGGCCAAACAAGATGCCACCGATGCCGTGGAAAAGAGTGGTGCATCCCACAGCCATGGCATAGATACCACAGATGATGAAGACGATTGCCGACCCCAGCGGATCAGACGTTGTTCCTCGCTGAAAACAGGAAAGACACCGCCGGGAACTCCAGGTCGCAAGAAGATTGTGAGATTCGCCGATGTCCTTGGCCTGGATCTGGCCGATGTGAAGACCTTCCTGGATGAGATACCCACCATACCGAAGTCGGCGTTTGAGGATCTGGAGATACTGGAGTCGGAACCGCCGCTCCAGCTGGGTCCCAAGTCCGATAAGCTATTGATGCCACTGTTCCAGCAGCCAGGTGGCCTGCCCAAGTTCCTCGATGCGGTCCGCGAGAAGCAGGTGTCGCTGGAGAATGCCGCTGTTTCGGATAACATCAATCAGACGATATCCGGATCTGTGCGCGTGCGCAATCTCGATTTCCACAAGTCGGTGCACATAAGGTATTCGCTTGATGGATGGCGGAGCTATGCCGATTTGCAGGCCAACTACGTGGAGAACTCGTGCGATGGCTTCTCCGACATCTTCACCTTTGTCCTCTTCGGGAACTCGCTGCACGTGGGCCAAAGACTCGAGTTCGCTGTCAGATTCCAATGCAAGGGCCAACAGTTCTGGGATAACAATTATGGGGCCAACTACTGCTTCCAGTGTCTGCCCAGTTCGACACATACCACCGGCGGCAGCTCGACGGCATCGCCTCCGTCCGTGGTGACTGGCGCCGTTACCTCCGGTGGTGGCCATCCCAGTGCCAGTCTGGTCGGATTGCTAAGCCCCACGGCGGGCGATGCCTGGTGCAGCTCCTTCTACTAGGCGGTGGCGATGGGTCCGCACTAAAAGCACTGGTCTAGAGTCCACATCCCCCATCTAGAATCCGTTCCCCAACCCAATGGCACGACACCAAGGTCTGGGATTCCTCCCGCACCCTGACGTTGTGTTCGCGTCCCCGAAATAATTCGAACTCGAATCCCATCCCAAGTCCCAGATGTCCGGCCAGTCAGAAATCACAGATCAGAATACCTACCTTCGTTGGGCTACCTCTTCAATAGGGTGTATCGATTTGTCACTAGAATTCTGGGCGGGATTGAATAATTTTTGGACAATTCTAAGATAGGAATCAAAAACTACAACTATTTCCTTAAGAGAATCCTTACAACCATAAACTTACGAATTTCAATGGCTTTTCTAATAGCAAAAAGTCTTTATATTTAAAGACCCCTTTTCAAAAGTTGTTATTATCTGAGTTTTTATTATTTTCTGGTATTTAATACCTTAAATAAACAAATAAAACGGGTTATATATGTGTATGATATTCTATATAATACCATTTAATAAAAAAAACACAGATCAAATGTAAGCTCTTGAAAAGAGACCTTTACCTATACTTGAAGTGAAAGGACTTAGAACTGTCTACAAATTACTTAAAACACCCAATGATTTTCCAGTTTTTGCACACAGATAAATCGATTCACCCTACCCTTCTTTGAGAAGGAAAACATTGTTTATATTTTTATAGAATGGAAAGGATTGAAGGGTTTGAGAAAAAGGAAGAGGAGCTGTAAAACCAATAAAAAAAGAGCGCCACAAAAAAATTAATTAAACAAACCAGAGTAGTGCGAATGAGAACAAAAGCCAGCAAAGTTCGAATGAATCCCAAAGATAGTTGTTAGTCGTATGTTATAAGAAGAGCAAGTGATAACAAACTAAAAATCAGATCAGTTTCTTCAATGTCTTCTTCTGTTTTCAGTTTTTTTACACCTTTTATTTGGTTTGTTCCTGGGTTTGTTTGCCAGTTGGATCGGGTTCGTAAGATTGGATTTCTGCCAGTTGATGTACTCTTAAAGAATTCATTTTTGTGAGATGATTAATTGCGATTAATCCTAGTTCACCAGCAGTTTTGAGATGTATATTAGAGCTTAGCACCATTTATATACTCTTCGTTTCGTAAGAGCAAGTATACGATTAGCTCATTCGACAATTGCCAGATCATTTTATATTCTTGCTTTATAGATCCATTCGAGCACAGAGACCATGTCAAAAGTTAACTTTAACTAACCAACATCCATTATCTAGTCAATTCGAGTTTACTTTTGCCACAAGCCCGACTATTTTCAGTTCCAAAGAAAATGCTCCAATCCTATGATCTTTTTTCCCCGATCGGAAAGACTTTTCCAAGCCATCTGACACAACAGACAAACCTTAACTTTTGTTTCTCTTAAATGTTGATATTCTTCTAATGTTTGATTTTTTTAAATATTCTTTAATTTTATTTTAAACAATTTCAATATTTTTTATGTATATGTTGATGCGTAATATATATCGTAATATTATATAAATATATATATACAAAATAAAATAAATATAAAATTTAGTTATTTCTCTTTTGTTGATTCTTTTACTTATCTTTGTTTCTTTTCAAAATAATAAAAACGATTCGAACTCTTCTTAGCCACAACAGAACCTTAAATAGCCTATATCAGGGATAAACAAACGAATAACTACTTATAACAATTAATTGCAAACGCAGCTACCTCAAGGTTTTCCGAGCGAAAACACGAAAAAGAGAGAATAATAGTTAAACAAAATATATGATTAAAATAAAATAACTATTAAATATGTTTATTGCATAGCAAACATGTGTAAAACAAAAAAAAACAAAACAACAAATAAAAACGAACTTTAAAAGTTACAACTATTTACATATATGTTAAAGTAGCAGAAACCTCAGAAAAATTACAGATGTCCCCCCAATCCAAAATGACTTAGACTGAAGCGTGAGTTTTTCGTGAGAAGAGCGAAGAAATGTTATGAGATCTGCCCAAAAACCAGAAATTTGTTAAGGTTTTGTGTGGGCGGGGCTTTTGTCAGCATGAGTTCCACTTCACACCAACAAAAGAATAATAAAGAACCCACAATAAAATAATAATGCGAACAGAAACTTTTTGCATGTCTTGAATGTGTTTTCTTTTGTGCATCGAAATAAAATGAAAGGCAGCTGACATTTAATGGGAAAAATTAAATGTATAGTACATATTAAATTATTTAAATTAATTCCGCAGGTAAGTAGTTTTCTTTACTCCAAATTAAAGTCAATGCTCTGGTTTCCTTTAAGTTTATCTGAAGTTTATTGCTGTTTTCACAGTATTAGGTTTTGTCTTCTTTTATTTATTAAGTTATTTCAATCGACATAGAATTCACTTTTCATGGCTCAATCACAAAGTCCAATGCCCATTTAGTGTGAAAGTTCTGTCAACGGCTAAAAAAACGCAACTCATTCATTGATTTTTATGCAAATTATGCACACCTTATTAATAGTTGGCTTAGTTTATTAAACAAGAGGAATTTGCATAAGACGGATTGTATGACAAGGTTTGTAAATCTAAAATGAGCTATTTAACGGTACTTTTGAATGATTCTCTCGATCGTCATTCTTCAGAGCTTTGTCCCCATATAAAAGATGTGACAATGATCTGATTTTGGTTAGTTTACAGCATGTCGTCGCCTTTGAAGGTTCGCTTAGCGAACTTGTTTATTTCGGTAGTGCTACTACTGCCAATTCTTGGTGGTGTTAGAGCCACGGATGATCCTTCAGTTCCTCGGCTTCTTACCCTTCAAGCTGGAAGTCCTGCTCCTGCTCCTCCGCCACAGCAAGTGATTATAGAGGAGGACTACGATCATCATCATCATCATCCGACGCCTTATTCGCCAAGCTATCCCCCAAGCTATCCATATCCGCAGCCTCAGCCGCAGCACTGCCATTGCCCACCGGGTCCTCCAGGACCTCCTGGTCCACCAGGACAGCCGGGACAGAAGGGTTATCCCGGTACAAAAGGATCCAAGGGTGAACCCGGAGAAAAGGGAGCCAAGGGAGAAAAGGGCTATCCCGGTATGCCTGGATTACCTGGACCCCAGGGTCCACCTGGATATCCCGGAGGATCGTATCCACCCTATCCCTATCCACCTCCTCCTCCTCCACCAGGATACGGACATGGACCAGCAGGTCCACCTTCTAGGTATTACAATCAGTACTACAATGAGGAGGACAATTATGGCGATGAACGGGCTTTTAGTCTTTTTCAAGAGGATCAGACTGACAATCAACCGCTCATCTTGGCCTTTAGTCATTATAGGAATCCATTTACCACAAAAGCCAATAAAAGACGAAATTAAAAATACATAATAATTAAAGAAAAAAAAGACTTTTGGTTGGGTGTTAGAAATTTCTAAATTTCTAAGAAAATTCTAAGATGTTCGCATTCAGAACTTCTCTTTCCAGCTTAACTCGATGAGGCATATAAATACATAGGTCCTCTAAGTTAGGGGATCTTTCCAATACAATAAAAAACACAATATATATTTAAGTTTTAAATCGAAACCTCTTTACAAATCGTATGTTATCATTTATCTTAAAATAATCTAAAATCTCACATAAAGCAAATAGTGTAACTAAAATCTCAAATGAGAACAAAAAGTGTAATGTCTTAACTATTAGCAAACATCATCATCTATTGCCGGGGGGTCGTCGCCCTCCTCCTCCGCTTCGTCATCCAAGGCCGCTTGTGAGGCGCTAACCTCCGCGAAATCATCTTCCATATTATCCACAAAACTGGAGACCCTATCAACACAAAACAAACAGACATTAAAAACAAATAGCAAAGATATTCGTTGTCTGCCATCACTTTTCAAAGTCGCACTGCGGCAGGAGGCCCTCGTCTCCCTTTGAGGGACTAAATCTGAGCAGTGTGCAGAGTCTAAGGACACCGAGGAGTATCAGGAACATTCCGGCCACATAACTAAGCCACAGATTGTGGGGATATAGTATCAGACAGATGCCGATGACCGCATAAACGGGAGTGGGTCGCCATCCGCCACAAATCGCTGAAAGTCGCCAGCAAGCCAGGCAGCTGCAGGACCTCCGCTGGTAATTATCCCTGAAGCAAATTAAATCCATAAATATGTGTATGAATATATTCAAAGCAATATATTTCACTGGGAAAAATTTTGAAGGAAGTCGGTCATTAAAGGAATTAATACGTGGAATGTAAACTTTGAGTTAGAAATAATACATTCTCAATATCTTTGCAGAGGTTTTAAAATTTAAGATAGAAGTTTACATATGACCAAATGGTCACAAAAAGTCATATCATTACTATTTATTAGGATATAGACATTTTAGACGATTCAAGTGTTTTTCCTTTAATTTTTTTTTTAAATAAAATAATACCAAATCAAACAATGGTTTGTATGTCCAATAATAATACCCACTCTGAGCACTGAAGTTGCAGAAATATGGTTACGAGCCACTTGATCTCAATGAACATTACCAGTACGGCTGAAAAACTAACCAGAAATTAAAATCTTCCTTGAGGATATTGGATCTTTGGCTTACACTATATAAAGACCGGCCCGATAGCCATGCATGTAGACATCAACGCCAACGCCGCAGATAACTGAAATGAAAAATGGCTTAAGAAAGTTTCGATGCGGGGGTCCTTGTCAGGGGGGTTACAACGAGGAGTGTTATCCTTGAATGAGCCTATAAAATAATGTGACTTTGTCTAGGCAAATATATTTATAAGCATATTTATTGAGTTGGGGCTTTTTTGTTTACCACGCTTGGGCCATAAAATGTAATACAAAACCAATGAAAAGAAACGAGGTTGGTTTGAGGAGTTATTGGGTTGGAACACAAAACCAGAAAATAATTTTCTTGGAACATAAAAATATATTTCCGGGTAATTTTATATCTTTTGCCAGAAATATGTCTAAAATATTTAGTTTTCAAAAAGGAAGTAAAAAAATAAATCATTTTATTTTATTTTTGTTTAGTTTTCATCATAAGCAAATGTAGATGGATTTTTTAGTTTTTTTAGCTCATTTGAATCGATTTTCACAAATAATTGTTGCCAAATTTTTTTAATCGCCCTTCGCAAATTTTGTCAAGCTTCCCCCTTAAATATTCATATTCTAACCACATTATGGCTTCGCCATTTTGTCTCAACCAAATCCACTTCCAATGGGTAAGATATGTCCACCACACCCATTTACCCACCATAAAAACCCAATCTAATTAAGTTGTTTTTATTATGCCGAGCCGCGAAAAACCAATCAGATTAAGTCAGTTAGATATATGCCTCATATTTAAATAAAACTGCAGGACCAAAACCAAACCAATTACATTAAATGCTGTCAACGGAAAAAAAAATTTGAAAAAGCGGAAATCGAAAAAACATGCAAAATTATCTGGATAATTGAAAGCGATGGAGGGAAAATACATAGATGGAAGGAGGGGAAAGGGGAAGGGAAACTTGGCGAATGGCTGGCGCCAAAAGGCTAACAACAAAGCTCATTGTCGACCGTATGGAAAAGTTGCTGATAAGGGGGAAAATCGGGACGGGAAAATTCTGCTCTTGGCACAGGATGCGAGATGTTAGCTGCAAGCTGCATAGAGGCCAATGCCTTGTTAATGGCTCCGACAGAGGATTTCCTTGGGAGAACCCCAACCTTTTCCTTTATTCTGCGGGGCTTATGAACTACATCAAGCTTTTATACTTTGTTTTTCTGCGTGCCACTGCATCCATAATAGACCCCAAAACAATTTGCAAAGAAATTAGTTTGAACTTGACCCAAAGTTTTTGTTTTCCTCCAGCCAGGCAATTTATCAAAATTCGAAAAAAACGAGTGGCTCACTATCTTAAGAGCATTAGGGAAATGTCAGATGCTGCCGGAAAATCGTTATGATTGGCCGTGATAAGCGTTTAAGCCAACTTTGATAACTGCACCAGATGGCCGGAACTATTCGATGAAAGAAATTGATTGGATTTTCGCAGTTTGAAAAGAGGGTGGAAAAATGCATGCAATAGAAAATGCAAATAATTACTTTTTTAATATATCAATTATTTGTTCATGCTTGCTAATAAATTTAATTTGCATTTATAAACTCACAGACAGCTTGTTACACACATTTTTTTCTAAAGATAAAATGCAACACAAAGCCGGCTTCAACGATTCAATTATAATTAAATTTATGAAATTGATGAGGAGAAATATGTAAATTAATATTCTACAGTTTTAATTGATTTTGTCAATATAGTCATGAAATACAATATTTAAGCTAAGCTATAATGTTATTTAACGCCCTTGCAAAAGAGGCTTTAAATACAAATCAAATTATAAATGTTAATTGCCTTATCAAAAGATTATTATTTATCAAAATACCGTAAATGTGTAAAATAAATTAACATACTTTCTCTGGTGAAATGCAGGGGAAGAACCCTTAACTAAAATGTATTTTATTCGGTTTACCGAAAGAAGGGTAGCAATATTGGGTTTACGCAAAAATGGCTTCAATAATAAATTATATAGAAAGGAACAACAAAAGCAGCCAATAAGAACATGTCCCTATTCAGCATCTTAGCCATACAATTCGCATTCAGTGCCAAGAAATATAATAAGCCACAGCACTCAACATATCCTGTGGCTATGATTTCTATGCACAACCATTTCCTACGATTTGTCAAGGGTAAACATTCCGAAAAGGGCCAAAAGAGATATGTATGTGCATGCATACATATATTCATGCACATGCATCATAACCCCATATCGTGATTGGCATTATCTTGAGACCAGGGGGTCACCTGGGCACCGAGCGAGGAATTTTATTTCAGTGGCATGGATTTCCAGGCACTTGAGCTTACCGAATGAAGTCAGCAGACCGAAAACTCTTATCACAGGACGTAAACACTCGCAAGGCTCTGCGGACTGATGACGGTGATGGTGACGTCCGCGGCGAACGCGTTGCGTTTGCAGTTGCATTTGACTCATGGCTAACTTTGTATATATGTATTTTATTTATATCTTGTACGATTTACTTTAAAACGTATTGTGTGTTACTCTACTTCAAATACTTATGGCTATGTTAGGACTCAAAAGATGCCTATCATGACATTCAATTTACCTTATAGTTCAATATTATGTTTTATTCTTTTATGAAATATGTTATTTTATTATATATTTTATTTTTTCAAAATATGATGGATTGTTTACATGAATAACATTCTCGTTATAATTCAATTTTCTATTACAATTCGAAGGTTTTATTTATGTTTTATCATATCATTTATTTTTAGTTCTTCATTTTTTCAAATATTTTTTACCCAAACTCAAAGTGATTGTCCAAAGGAATAGCTAATAAAACAATCAAAGAGCCGTATCCACATCACAAAAATCCACTACGTGCTTGGCATACTAAGTGGCCAAATAACTTTACGACAAACATTTTCAATTCCAACTTGAACAGCTCGTTGTGCTTTTAAATTTCAGCATTTAATTCGGGCAAACGCTGCGTATGCGTAATGTGACACTTTTCGCACCTCTCCTTCCACGGCATTTAATCACCGGTCTGTTTGTGTGTGTGAGTGTGTATGGCAACTAATGTCTGCAAATTACCGTTACCATTTGCACTTTACACCCGCACGTTGTATGCCCTCCTTGTTTTTTTTTTTTTAGGTTTCAATTTTTCCTTTTTTATTTTTGTTGGACTTTTTTTTTGTTGAATTTTTTTTGTAAGGTGCTACTGCCACTTTGCCACTTGACTTTATGACCGAGCTCTAAACAACGAACGTCCGCACGCTTCCAGCAGCGCCAGCTGAATGAAACTGAATGAAAGGACCAAGCAAGGAATCGTTTTTATTTTCGGAGTCAGAGTCGCCGCTGAGGCTGCTTTTCCCACTGCCACCGACTTTGTAGCCAAATGCCAGCCAATGGGGCGCTGCATTCGAAACGGCTAAGTTGATTTGTTACGAAAGGGACACTCTCGTTTATTTCTTTTTAAATGCTTTTCACAAAAAACATCTATTTATGCTGAGATTTATGGAAACCTCAATTATTTCTTTGTTGATTAAATGAAATATGGAATGGATGACGCTCATAATAAATTAAAAACCTATTGAAATACTTCATATTGATGGAAATATTTTCAATATTTATTGAAAACCACTTCTGTTTTCCTTTTATTTTAAGCTCAGTTACATATTTTATAGGTTTTTATTTTAAATGCGAATAAGTAAAGGCAGGCTATATGTTTTTCTACATTTCCTAGTCATATTATTTATAACTTATTATTAATGTGTCATCTTATGAAAACCAGATTTTCTTTAAAGTTGCCAATAATTGTACGCTGATAAAAATTTTTGATTTGAAATAATTTTTTTTTGGCATTTATTCTGTATATTGACACCTTTTTTGGAATGGAACTTTTAAATAAATGTAAATGTTAAGTTAAACTTTCTGTTTAAAATTAGAAAATATTTTATAATATTTTGGCAGTAATTTTAAAGGCAAATTACGAAAGTGCATTTAAAAACAGCTCATATATCTTGAAAGTTAATTTAAAATATATTTTTATTTAAGATGCTACTGGCAGTGGTTAATTAATTTTAGATCGTAGCGCATTTTTACAGTCTTTAAAGACCTGCAGTTCTTTTTACCAATGCTAGCTTGATTTTATTTGTCACGTTGTCCTGTGTGTGATGCCCTCATGTTGTTGCTATTGCTGGTGTGGTCCTGTGTGTGCGTGCTTTCGTCCTGCTGGTCCTACCGACTCACCCCCTCTTCCCCCGCTCCCTTGGCCACGTTTCAGTAATTTTCATAACCGGCTGAATGAGGAGCGGAGTGGCAGGGGGCAAAAAGAAGCTCCAAAGACGACCAGGAGCAAAGCTGAGCAATTGCCAAGTACCAGGCGACTACGCAGAATGTGGACAAAAACATTTTCGGCTGCCACAACGCCCTCAACCTCACATATAAATGAAAACGGGGCAACATTCGGGGGGAGGAGCAAGAGTAAATATTTTTTTAGCCCCTCTGCTTATTGTGCTGTGCATTTGCTAAGGTGCCTATCGTCAGACGACTTGTTTGCATTATGCGGCGTTAATGACATCCAAAGTGGGAAGCCATCCCCCCGAGAAAACTCAGCACTGTCGCCAGCATCTACAACATAATTCACAGCTGCCCCACACTCGCAAAATTTAATTTCCTCACATTTTTTTGACATCATGTCCTGCAGTTACGGACGTTTTTATAAACCTGGGACATGGTTTCTACATCTTCACCTAGCTGCTGTTATACATAGATCTAAAGTGTAGGTAATATATTAAAAAAATGTATTTGTTTTGCGGATGTTAGTTTATTCATTTTATGAACTTAATATTTATTATAATGGCAAATAAATATTCTTAGTATTCTTAGACATAGGTCTAATTATTAATTATTAATTATTTATGGTAACTAATTTACTTGTAGATAAAAAACATTTTTTTCTTGGTTAATTGATTTTCTTTATAAGTATATTTTTAGTTTTCCTTTAATAATACAAGTTTTTAAGCTCATAGCAACCCAATTTATAGCAATTAATGTTCATAATAATTTAATTTTAATCTTATTATTTAGATGCAGTGCTTGCCTACAATTTCTTTGAGTGCATGCCATGCTAATGACGCTTCCCGCGTAGCTCACTTGGGAAACTCCTTGCGCCGCTTCATTATCTTGGTAATCCCGGCCACCATGGCCACCTCGGGCAGCGACAGCTTGGCATCCTCTTGGAAGTCACAGCGTCTGGTTAAATGCAGCCAGGTCCTTTCCGGATTCAAGGACAACGGCATCTGCAGCCAACTGACATAGTCGATTTTCAAGGAGCCCGTAAGCAGCTGGTCAAATGGGGTATTCCCAATGAAGAACATGGACCTCAGCACGGACGTCTTTGCCTCCTTGATATTCTGACCCTGAACACCTTGAAAAGGACTCGGATCATTGTCGCCCGTTCCCAATTGTTCAAGCAACCAATCCTTGTTGAACTTCAAATAATTATAAACCACTTTCAGGGCCTGTTTTCCAATATTGGTGGTCAAAACATCGCTGACTAGAACTTCTGCAATATAATCTGCGATTCCCACATCCAACTCCATGGCATAATTATTTGGCGGACTGTGGCTTAGCCGATCTGATTCCGCATTTGTCAAGGCCAAATCGTCCATTTTGATGGTACTCACAGCACTCATTCCTCCAGCCCCTCGATTATTGCTCCCCACTGTTCCCCCGAAATCGGTGTCCAAATTAATACTCTCCTTGGCCTGTTTAAGAAACAATTCGATCTGGTCCGTGTGTTTGTCGTCCTCGTCAATGGAGCAAATCGCCTCCGATATGGAATAACAAATGGCGGCCTTGTCCTCATTTTTAGCTGTAAATAATTAAAAATTAATTAATATTCTTTACTTGTATTTTTTTTAGTTACTACTAATTACTCACCCTGCTCATACATTTCTGCAGTTTTGATCAATTCCGTATAGAGAGCAGCAAAAACCACCTGCAATAGCACTGATTCTCCCAATGGTTTTGTTGAAACTGGTATAATGTCCTGTAGCAAAGAAGCGATTTTGTACAGTCCTTCTGGAAGACAGTCCCAGATCTCAGAAACACACGTTAAAGCCAAAGACATGGCCTGATACCTGTATGGAAATTTACTTATTTAAAAAAAAAACATTTAGTACTTATTAGGGGTACATACATGCTGGCTCCATTTTCCACGGCATTAACTAACATATCCACCACACAGTCGAGAACTGGGTATACGAAGTGCATGATGGCTTCCAACCAAGGAGTTCGTTTTTGGTTCCACACTTGTCTTTTGTCCAGGCAATCGCTCCAACCTGTGATCGCATGTTCTTCCAGGGTTTTGATCAGACAGGACTTAATATCCACTGCTTTGCCAACAGCTACCACTAAGTAAGTAAGTGAGAGCACTATCTGGTAGTTGGATTGACCGACAGGATCTGTTTAAAAAAAAACCATATATATTTTATTATTATATGAACTTATTTTCTTAAGTTTCTTTATACCAACTTACCTATATCCCCAGCTATAGAATCGGTGACATTGAAGCACTCCCCACGACACAAAAAAGCTTCGCACTTTTGGGGAGCCCCTTCAGCGCTGGTAAATGAAATCTTTGCCACGTTTTTGAAGTTTTCCGAAGATGGTAAATGCTGCATCAGATGTCGCATTATAATGCCAGTGAGATAGGCATCTCTCATCAAAAGAATCTTTAACAGATACGACCAATCTGCCTCTGGAAAAGCAAGTAAGACCCTTAGGTCCAAGGAAATTGCTGTGTTGGTAGAAAGATCAGAGAATTCGGTGACCCATTGACAGGATTGCTCTTTGGGAAAATATCTGGGAAGAGCAAAAATAATCCAAGCACTGGGTAAGCCGTGACGGGAACTAAACATTTCCATGTTGTCCAAGCCTTTACGGAAAACCTTCAAGAAATAATAGAGAATTTGTTAAGTACACAAACTTTAAGTAGAATACCAACACAATTTGTAATATTTCAGAATATTTTGTAATCACCTATGAAGGTGTTGAAAAGTATTAGAACATTAGGAATATTTTTACCTTGGAAAGAACTCCGAGTGGAGATCCCCTTAAAAGAAGGCAGTAGAATAGCTCCCTGCACTTTGCGTGAATATCCCTAAGGATAACGCTCTGATTACTTAGCTGCAATCCCACATAGGCCTCACCACTCTCACAAATATGGGGCAATAGTTCAGCGATGCAGAGGAGCATATTGCATATGTCCACCAAATGGAGCGTAGATCTAGCCACACTGGTTACTATCTGGGTGTATCGTACAGTCAGTACACTAAGTGTTTCGTTCAGCATTCCAGCGAATATCTTTTGAGCCATTTTCGGAGGCACAGAGTTCCACAAATCGGTTTTGGAGCCCCGCATATAATGCCACCACATCTGAACGGTATAGGAACCCCTCTCCGACTCAAAAAACGGCTGAGTATCCTCCCAATGCAGACAGTCGGCATCTTGCATTATATAGAGTAATAGTAATCGGCAATGGAGATCCAATAGTCGCTCAGCCAAAGCCTCTGACATCTGGGAATATTGCTTGAAACTGAGCTTGAGAGCTCCACCCTTTTCATCGCCTTTTGGGGGACAAATAGTGGTAGTGGCTGCCTGCATATAAACACTGAGGGAATTCTTGACCAGAGAGGCAGCTCCAATTGTGGCAGTGAGCACGGATAAGTCGGCATGATCCAAGGACTCCTGGGAAAGGCGATGAATGTGCTCCAGTAATAAGTCCGCCGATTTGGTGACCAGCTGCACAAACTTATCCGGATCAGAGGTCTTCACGGTGACACTGGACTAGGGTAAACAAAGTATATCACTTACTTAAATTTTTAAAATAAAATAATAACATCTTACAAAATCTCCTTCATTCATTTCCTTTTCGGTGTGCAAAAGTCCAGAGGGTTTTCGGTAAGAGGCAAAGTACTCATCTTCCCACCTAAGTATGTTTAATTTTGAATAAATCATTTTAATCCTTGATAATATTATATTTTAAATACCCACCATCTTATTAATTTAATAGCCGCAAAAGAAGCGTAGCGTGGAAAATCCAGTTTTCCGCCCACAACTCCTGAGCAAATTGGTTCCTGAAGCACCCTTTGATGAGTCTGTTTTTTGAAGATATAGTTACGTAAATAACGACTAAAGCTAAATGATGGAATTATACCTGGTAAAACTCAAGATCACGCTGTAGTAAAATCGGCACTCTATCCATTAAATTTCCCTCTTCAAGCACCTCCATTATTTATGTTGGTTTTAGAGACTTAAGAGAATACAGCAAACAATCTGTTAAATATGAGTTAACGAACAAACGGCTTATTTAGTTCACTAGTTGCCAGGGTAACAGAAAGATTAATACAATCGAGGACTAATAATCGAAAATGATAACGATAATTTAAACAGGATAAATAAATTTAATGCTAATAAATATGTTATGTTCAAATTTTCTTTCCAAAAAAACATAAATGTCAACACCTTAAAAATGTCTACTTCAAACTTATACACTCTAATATCAAACTTATTAAACTTTCATACTAACTTCCTTTTTTTAACCATTAACAATTTTAACATTTAGTTTTTTTCCCCCATCTGAAAGTATGCTTTGATTTTATTTGCATGCTGCATTCAACCTCTCAATTCCTTTATTGTTATTGATAAGACGCCAACTGAGCTCCCCACCGTCTCTCTTTGCATTTAATTCAGTTTATGCCCGCGATAAGCTGCCAACAAAAGCCAGATCTGCCCTCAGTTGATAATTGACTAGCGACTCGGGCAGTCCTACTTCCAATCCGGGCATTCATATTCCAAGTGAGTACCGCCTCAATTGAGATGCTATCAGTGGATCCGCACTGCTGGGGATCTAAAAAAAAATTTCCAGCCAGCAACCAGAAAACAGACGGAGCTCTTATCGCTCGATAAGAATGGTATCAGGTCATAATCAGTAATCCATAAATCTCCTCTTGCTCTCCTCCACCAAAAATACACTTTTTCGTTAAAAAAAACATTGAAAATTCAAGTAGATTATTATTTTATTACACAGATATAAATTAGCAAAAATTAAATGTTACTAAGTTCTTACAAAATTAGTTAAAGAAGGCCTAATATTTTAATACCTACTCAATAAATGATAGCCAGTTAAAACTTAAGAAAGTGAAAGTATGGATGACTGATAAGAACCATTTGAAAATTTTGTTATTTAACATTCAGTAATACAATTTAAAATAAATGATAAACAATATTTAAATATGAATACTCATATAACCCATACTCATGATATGGATTTGTCTGCTCCTCTTAAGCACGAGTTTCGCTTTTTTGCAGCATGTTGGCACATTTGAGAAATCTTTCGAGGCTGGCGTTGCCTCGCCAACTGGTCACCCAATCCGCCAGTTACTCCTCAGCATCCTCATCATTTCTAATTGACCAACCGGAGTACAGTTTCCTAAAAGAATTGGGCTTAGAGCGGGAAAATCCAGGTGTATATTCCGGTCAATGGCAGGGTCGTGGTCCATCCATCACTAGCTACGATCCCGGCACTGGCCAACCTATTGCCACTGTACGTCAGGGAAATGTCCAGGAACTGGAGCAGACCATCGGCTTAGCCGTGGAGGCCTACAAGCAATGGCGACAGGTTCCGGCTCCCGTGCGAGGCGAAATAGTTCGCCAAATCGGAGATGAACTGAGGAAATACAAGGAACCGCTGGGCAAGCTCGTCTCCCTGGAGGTGGGCAAGATCTACAGCGAGGGTCAGGGAGAGGTTCAGGAGTTCATTGACATCTGCGACTACGCGGTTGGTCTCTCCAGGATCTATTCTGGTCAGTTGATCAACTCCGAGCGAGCCGATCACTCGATTCTGGAGGCCTGGCGTCCTCTGGGAGTGGTGGGCGTTATTTCGGCCTACAATTTCCCCAATGCGGTTTTCGGTTGGAATGCAGCCATTGCGCTGACCACTGGCAACAGTGTCCTGTGGAAAGGAGCTCCCAGTACGCCTTTGGTCTCGGTGGCCACCACCAAAATTGTGGCTGATGTGCTTCGCAGGAATAATCTCCCGCCAGTGGTGTCCCTTTGCCAAGGTGGAACTGATGTGGGTCAGACTTTGGTGGCTGATAAAAGAGTAAACCTCGTCTCCTTCACCGGCAGCTGCCAAACTGGTCGAGATGTGGGCGTGGAAGTCCAGCGCAGATTCGGTAAAGTGATCCTCGAGTTGGGTGGCAATAATGCCTTAATCATCGATGAATCTGCAAACGTTAAAATGGCCCTGGACGCAGCGCTCTTTGGTTGCATTGGCACTAGTGGTCAAAGATGCACCACCACCAGAAGGATTATTGTGCACGAAAAGCTGCACGATCAGTTTGTAAAGGCGCTGGTTGGTAAGTATAAGCAGCTAATACCCAAGATTGGACACCAGTTGGACGCACAAACTCTGGTCGGTCCCGTCCACACGCAACAAAACGTGGAAAACTACAAAACAGCGATCGAGGAGGCGAAATCCTTGGGAGGAACGGTGGCCTTCGGCGGTAAAGTTATCCAGCGTGATGGCTTTTACGTAGAACCCACTGTTATCACTGGTTTGGCCCACGATGCCAGCGTTGTCCATCGTGAAACCTTTGCACCCATCGTTTACATCCTCAAAGCCAAGAACGTGGACCAAGCGATCGAATGGAACAACGAGGTGGAGCAGGGTTTGTCCTCTGCCATTTTCACCGAGAACATCGGGCAGGCCTTCAAATGGATTGGAGCCAAGGGATCAGATTGTGGCATCGTCAACATCAACACTACAACCAATGGCGCCGAGATTGGAGGAGCGTTCGGTGGTGAGAAGGCCACTGGAGGAGGTCGGGAATCCGGATCAGATTCCTGGAAGCAATACTGCAAACGGGCCACCATTACTGTGAATCACTCCGGGGAATTGGCATGTGCCCAGGGCGTTGTCTTTAATGTGGAGTAGAAAAGAGATATGATCAATTTTAATTTTTTCCTATTTGCTACAATTTAAAATACATAAATAATGTCCAAAATTAAATGCAACCGAGTTAATTATTTCTATTCCTCGCTGATGTCGAAGCGCCAGAAGTCCACCTCAATATCTTTTGACTTGTGCTTGTGGAACTTGTAGCTGGCGTCTATGTTGTAACGAAGTTCGGCAACCACAGAGCCGCGGGCGCCCCATTCCTGGGCCTTTTTCTGAATGTAGGCACTGCGGAAAAGATTTAAAAGGCTCACATGAGAAGAGGTAAATCAGAAGTCTATAGGATTACAAGAATAGCAAATCTGAATCAAAGTCTTTCAAAACAATGAAATTCTCACCGTGTAGAAGTCTTGTGCAGGGAGTAGACCGCTGTGTTGGCCAACCGCAGAGCAACCTCAAGGAATCGCATGTCCATGCCAGCATTGTGTTTTGTTCCGAATGGTGGGTTCATTACCACCGTGTCGAAGGACTTCTCCCACTTGCTTCCCGCCAGCTGCAGGACATCCGTCCGGACGCAGTCGACGTTGGGCAGTTCCATCTCCACCACATTGCTCCTGAATGTGTCCACCGCATCGCCATCCAGTTCGAAGCCCACCGTTAGTTGGGCGCCCAGAAGAGTGGACGCAATGCTGAGCATTCCGCAGCCACAGCCCAGATCTCCCACCAGTCTGCCCTCAATATCTCCGTGCTGCGCTTGCATATGATGGGCCATACAGGCGGCAATATGCGGCGGAGTGGGATACTGCTCCAGTAAGATCTTGGGCTGCTCGAAGCCATCAACACCTTGCAGGTACTCCTCCAGCTTCCTCAGCTTCATCCGGGCCATTGTGGCTCTTATTGATCCTACTACGATTTACTGATACCCGGGGCGTTCGCAGTGGTGGTGGTGGGCGTGGTCGCGGGCGACGGCAGCGGCTCCAGACGAGGCAGCACGGGTATAAAACTGTTTCCAAAATACGAATCCTGAGGTACAAAGAAGCCCAGAGTTGTAGAGCTCGTTGGATTAAATGCAGAGCGGGCGGTGGATGTGGCATTGGTGGCAATGCCCACGCCCACCTGAAAATCGGGAGAGGTGGCTGTCGTCGGCTGTCCCAGCAAAGGAGGTGCTGTCATCTGGGAGGGGAAAGGTTCGTTTAATTCCCTTGGAATCTCCATATCCGTACCCAAATGAACCCACCTGATTCGTAGTGCCAGTCAGTCCCAGGTTTATGAGCCCCCCAGCGAGCAGCTGCTTCTTCGTCTGTATCTCCTCGAGTATCTTGCGGTTCGTCTCGGCTTGCTGGGCACTTGTGGTGGGAAAAGCCATCAAACAGTCTAGGTTTAATTGTCAAAAAATCGGAAACTTTATGCTTTTGCTGCTTCTTTTGGCATCTCACACGCGGCTTTGTGCGGTCACACTGGGGGTATTTTCCGTGGGACCGTTTGGTATTGAAAAACAGTTGGGGTATTCCCCAACCAACATTCGATTTCACACCTAATCGAACAAAGTCTGCCCAATAAATTTGTAGTTTTAGTTTTTAGATTAATTATATTCAAAAAAGTTAATGTTAAATTGGAGAAATCAAAATTTTGAAAAATGACGGCGATTGGCGGGTTTTTTTTAGTGCATTATAAAAGCCGGGTATTTATTGGCTAGCCGAATAGGGGCAGTCTCTGGCTTAAAACGTGAACAGACAACAACAGATTTAATTACAATAATCATAAACAAACAATCACAATAAATAGTACACTCTCCAAAAATAAATAATTAATTGCGCGAAAACCCAGCAAAAAAGTGAAACAACAAAATGAGTATGAGCGACGACGACCGTGATATTGATATCGAGAGTGACGTAAGCAAATCAAAAAAAAAGTGTACGCGTGCTTTTACACGGATTATAATACCAAATACCTGATTTTTATAGGACGATGGGGATTCGGATAATGGTTTGGGATCCTCGCGACACACGAGTACTGCAAATTTCACCCAGGTGACTATCATTTAGTCTCAAATAAACAAAAAGCGACTGCGCACATTTCCATTTTGTTGATAAACAGAACGCACATGTTGTTGTTGTTACGAAATCGTGATTACATACAGCCGTGTTCACAATAATAGGTTTCACATTCATGTTTTAAAAAGCTTAACAATAATAGTTTAAAAACACTTTAAAAGAACTCTTTAACAATTTTAAGCGATAAAGTAAATGATAAAAATAAATAAAAGTATGTTTTAAACAAAAACAATCTTGAATACCTGAAAATGTTGTATTATATATAAACTTCCTGGTTGCTGGTTCCTGAACTTTAACTTTATAGGAAAATACGTAAAATTTTACCACAGCTTTCAAACCCCATTGATATTCTGGACTCAACTGTTTTTACTTTATAATTCATATATTTCTTATGATTACCTCAAGGCCGAAAAGCGGGCGCATCATAACGCCTTGGAAAGAAGGCGGCGGGATCACATAAAGGAGAGCTTCACCAACCTGCGGGAGGCGGTGCCCACTCTCAAGGGCGAGAAGGTAATGAAGAGCATGGTCATGTGCTGCACAGTGGTTGTAAAAAAAGCATTATCATTAACTCAAATATTATTTTTGCAACTTTGTTAGTTGACAACCTTTCTTTCAAGGGTTTTTGTAGTAAATAAAAATAAGTTTTAAATTCCGATATATTATTCCGAAATTGTCTTTTAAGAGTCAGAAATGTTCCCTTACAAAAGCGTTTCTTTAAATATTCCTAAACAAAATTAAACACAACTGTTAAATTATAATATTGTAAAAAAAAATAATATTTTTTTACAGGCGAGTCGAGCCCAAATTCTTAAGAAGACCACTGAGTGCATACAGACGATGAGGCGGAAGATCAGTGATAACCAGAAGGATATCGACGAGATCAAGAAGCAAAATATCATATTAGATCAGCAAAGTAAAACCAAATATACTTAAGATTTAAAAATGAACCTTCCATTAAAATACGTTTATGTACTCTGCAGTTCGAGCGATGGAAAGTCCAAATGCTGATCACTATACCGAATTTCTCAGTGAGGAGGAATTAGGCAGCGAGGAGGCCGACGACGATGACCTCGACCAGCCCGATTTTAGCAGACGCACCAAAAAGATGAAGACCTTCCACGCATAGGCTAGTCCAAATAGCGGCGCATAGGAATGTTCCGGTTTTCGCTTTCCCCAATCTTGTGAATATTTTTGTCGATTTAAGTTCTTAGAGTTGTGTTATCCAAAAGCAATAGTCCCTCAAAGTGGAAAAGGAATTAGTTCCAATTTCAAATTAATTTAAATTCGATCAAATTACGTGAAAATGAATACTGAAAGTCCAATAATCATAATCATATTTAGCTGTAAGTCCATACTGTAACCCACCCTCTCTACCTTAATTTGTATGTGTGTGTCTTTTTGTACTTTGAGCAAATTATCACTCTCTAATTAATAAAAAATGTAAGTAAAAAGTGTATGAAAAAAAATTTTTTTTGTTAACTAATGATAATGGTATGTCAAAATTGTATCTCTTAGATTGCAAAAACGGATAGAAGCGATTTGATTAATAATATATTTTTTTTTAATTGAAATTATTTGAAGATTTATCTTACAAATTTAAATTTGTATCTCAACTAATTTGATTGAAAATTAAAATACGAATATGAATCTGCAGTTAGTATGATTAACAGGTTATTCAGAAATGATTCCAAGTAAGTTGCAAAGTTATTTAAATCTTTGTAACATTTTTAAGAATTTAATTTGATTTAAAAAACTAGTATTTTTTTATCATAGTATTTGAACCTAGTGGTCTTGGTCTAAAGTGAGTTTCCAAACTCAAATTATTTCTTATAAGGCCCAAAAGTAAGCCACTGAGTGCTTTTTCCAAATATATTTAAAGTTTCTCTCCCTAGACTACACAATACAAATTTGTGGGTATATTTAATAAAAATTAGCAACAACTACTTGAACTTTAGGGTCAGCCAGAGGATGAAGAAGACGACGAGGACAAAAAGAAACATGTAGAACATCTGACGGGCACCACCGCCCTGTTTGGCCAATCGTACCACCCTGGTCATCGTGTTGCCCAGGAAGCCACTTGTTCGATCCATATCGTCGTCTATTCCGCGGAGTAGCTTGTCCTGGTACCGCACCTCATTCCCGATATCGATGGTGAGGGATTTGAGGGCTCCGATTTTTTGTTTCAGCTCCTCCGCGGCCTGTTCGTTTTCCGCTTCCAGGGAATCGTGGCTTGCAGGTTGAGGATTAGATCCAGACGGGTGGTTGCTCAGGGGCTGATATGGGTAGTTGTTGCGGCGCATACTGCTTCCCGTGTGTGCCAGTTTGGCATTCGGATTGCTACAAGTTATAACATATGATGCAAATTAGTTCAAATTCCGGAAATTAAAGAGTCCCATTCAAGTGACACGTAAACGTAAACATGGAATCTCACCCAGCGGCAGAACAGCTGTTGGGATTTTCGTTTCTGGGTTCAACCTTAGTGGCTGACTGTGCATTGACCCTTGACCCCTCGTCGCAATTTTGGAATCCAGCTGACTAATGCTTAGATTAAATGAATTATTATTTTTAAAATCTAATGCAATTGTTGGTTGTCGTGCAGTGTGACCAAGTCTGACCATCAAAAATTTCCCGCATATTTTCTCGTTCTTAACGTATATGTTTAACCCATTGCTGATCATTACATTTCGTTCAATGCAGTATAATTTATTTAATCAAATAGTGAAACAAAGAAATTAAAAATTATAGTAATTGGTTCAAGGTAGCATTATATGTCAAAGACCTAATAAAATTTACTATTTATCTCTAATAACAGTATTATACTGTATTGCAAAATTCTTAATACTTTAAGAGTGTTTTTATATCTTTCTTTATCCTTTCCAATTTGCTGGTGCTACAAGGAGTAATAACCGCATTATTTGTGCAGTAGTCTTAGAGTTTTTTATTTATAAATATTCAAAATGCTTAAAAAATAATTATGCTCCCACCCACCTTCTAAGGGTTAACCCGCGTGATTATTACTGTTAGGATTAGGTAATTTCTATCTTCCCGCCCACAGTCACACTGCTCCAGTGTTTAGTAACTTTAGGTAATTTTGGCCAACAATTTAGCTTGCCGCTTTCGTTTGTATTTCTCATTCATTTTTATGACCTGACCGTGAAATCAATAAGCATAAAATATTTAAATCCGCGCGGTGGCAAGTGCGTCATCATTGAATTCAGTGGTTCGACGAGATAATTCGACCTTTGTGTTTCAATTTTCATTGACCCTGACCAAGTGCACTCAATTGTTGTTGTTGTTTCTGCTCTTCTTCTTTGATTAATCTTCCCCCCTCCTCTCCTCTGACCCCATGATGATAAAAAAACAATCAGTTTGCGTAATATGGGACAATAACAATAACAACAATTACTGAGTGATAAGGACATTGAACCATTTAAACACGCGAGTAAAGTTACTGATAAGCACTGCAACTCTTTTTTTCAGATTTAGCATGACGGAATTTACGGAAATCTTGCCCCACAAGGGCCTAATGGATGGAATTGCGTCGGGAGTTGGGGTTCCCGTGGAGGCACTTCGATTGCTTCTAACCATTGTTTCCGGTAAGTCATTAAATCCCTTAGTTTTTGACGGAGTTTTGGGGGCAGTCTTATTTCAACTAAATTCCAAACAAAAGTCAAATTTTTGGTTCAAAAACTCTTTAAAAAACCTTAATAAAAAATTAAAAAACATATTCAAATGCAAAATTTTACCTTATTCCTTTTTAGAGTAGTCTGACCAAAAATTGAGATTGAGTTAATAAAAATACCCACACAAAAACTCATAAGTTTTGTACATTTCTGAATGTAGATCATTAAAATTATAAAGTATATATAGATTATATGCGCAAGTGTTTATACCTACGCAATTTTTAAAGTGTTGAAGAGTGTTCTTCAAAACTTTGCAACGCAGTGAAGGGCACCTTTACTTTCATATATTCTTGATCAGCATCAAAAGGCTAGTCAATCTAGCCATGTCCGCCCATACACTCCGAATTGTAGTCATTTCTAAGGCTTTCTCTTTTACTTTTATAAAAATCAAACGACATAATGTAGCTGCCCATTCGGCCTTTCCAAATTTTCTAAAAATGGCTTTGCCGAAAAGTACCCAAAAACGAGGTCTTCTAAGTCCATAACTTTTCTTACAGACATCCGATTATAAAGTGGCATACCTCTAAATGATTGTAGCTTAATTCTCTGAAAATCTGTATCTTCATCTTGGTTTGTATTTTTGGGTCGATTTTTCGCCATTTTTATGAGCTAACCCCTTTCCAAATTTTCGAAAAATGGCTTTGCTGAAAAGTGACCAAAAACCAGCACTTCTAAGCCCATAACTTTTCTTACAGACGTCCGATTTCAATGTGGCATATTTCTAAATGATTGTGGTTTAATTCTCTAAAAATCTGTATACTCATCATGGTTTGTAATTTTGGGCCGATTTTCCGTCATTTTTATGAGCTAACCCCTTTCCAAATTTTCGAAAAATGGCTTTGCTGAAAAGTGACCAAAAACCAGCACTTCTAAGCCCATAACTTTTCTTACAGACGTCCGATTTCAATGTGGCATATTTCTAAATGATTGTGGCTTAATTCTCTAAAAATCTGTATACTCATCATGGTTTGTAATTTTGGGCCGATTTTCCGTCATTTTTATGAGCTAACCCCTTTCCAAATTTTCCAAAAATGGCTTTGCTGAAAAGTCACCAAAAACGAGTACATCCAAGCCCATAACTTTTCTTACAGACATTCGATTATAAAGTGGCATATTATGGTTTAATTCTTTAAAAATCTGTGTTAAAATCTTGGTTTGCATTTTTGCAGAGAGCACATTTCCGACACAGGCGAGTCTACGAGTCTCCGTTTGTCTGTCTGTTGGCATATCGAATTTGCTTCCCTTATTAATTAATTACGATAGAAAATATATTTAGGAATGGGAACTTGTTAAGCCTTGTTTGAGGCCTTCCGTAATAGATTATTTAAAAATGGAATTTTAAATAATAGCTTTAACCAATTTTAAAATGTATTTTATTTTTATTTTAAAATAACAAAATATCAAATTTAAATTAAAGTTTTAACCGTGGTCACAATTTATTTCTTTCAGGTTATCCCTTGGCAGCATTTTATCTAAAATTTATTGCCATTATTGCCGATAAGAACGTGCATCACATGTTCTTTGCCGGATGTGGCGCTGGATTATGTTACTTCAACTACGGTTACAACACATATCACTCCCTGGTGGCCATCCTGACCACCTATTTCCTCGTACTCGTCCTGCGGAAAAAAGCACAAATATTTCTGACCCTAAACTTCGTATTCCATATGAGTTATCTGCTGCTGGGTTACTACTTCACCTCCAGCAATGAGTACGATATTCTGTGGACGATGCCCCATTGCATTTTGGTACTCCGAATGATTGGCTATGGTTTTGATATAACTGATGGACTGAAAAACGAAACGGAATTGTCTAAAGACCAGAAGGAAACTGCATTGAAGGAAACACCTTCGCTGCTGGAACTCTTGGCTTTTGCTTATTTTCCCAGTGGATTTTTGGTGGGACCCCAGTTTCCCTTTAGCCGATACCAGTCTTTTATTAATGGTCAGTTCCGCCAGCACGAAGGGAGCTTGGAGGCTGGCGTTCGTCGCTTTGGAGCTGGCGCCTTCTACCTGATCGTGTGTCAAGTGGGATTGAGATATTTCCCCGATTCGTACTTCCTTACCCCGGAGTTTGCAGAGGTTTCGTTCATTAAGAGGATTTATTTCTTAGGCTTCTGGGCCAAATTCAGTCTATACAAATACATATCCTGCTGGCTGCTCACCGAGGGAGCCCTCATCTGCATCGGATTAACCTACAAAGGCGAGGACAAGAATGGACAACCAGATTGGTCGGGCTGCAGCAATGTAAAGCTAATGCTCCTGGAGACTGGGAACACCATGGAGCACTACGTACACAGCTTCAATGTAAACACAAATCAATGGGTGGGACAGTACATCTACAAGCGACTCAAGTTCCTTAACAATCGAACGATCAGCTATGGCGCGGCTTTGGGTTTCCTGGCTATCTGGCACGGATATCATAGTGGCTATTATATGACCTTCCTTATGGAATACATGGTCGTAAGCACCGAGAAACAGGTGAGTGGGGGGATTTATCTAAAGTTCAAAATATATTACCATATATAAATGGATAGTATAGAATAAATAGTATAGTAAATAGTAAAATAAAATGTGGAAACGATCTCCTAAATATAGGGAACATTTTACCAGAAACAGAAAATCTCACTAAGTGCGGGTCAGAAATGGTTAAGTGTTTATAACAATTCTTAACGACTTTTTTAAGCAATTTCGTACACAAATGCCTTCATAAAACTTTTAGGAACTAATTATTTGTTAGTATAAATGGGTTATAAACGGGGCCATAAAAACAGTAAGCAAAACAGATTATCTGAACCAAAAAGAATGACAAAACAAAGGGAAAACAGTTGAGCTTTTAAGTAGTATGTTATGGTATTAATATTTCCAATCAAATAATCTGTTCTTCCCCATTTTTAGATAACACGTTTCTACACCAAAGTCGTTCTGCCCAAGTGGGGCCACATCCTCAACAACTCTGACATCTACAAGCTGCTATACTTCATTACTCTGAAATCGTATAACATAGTTTACATGGGCTGGTGTCTGACGGCATTTGTTTTCCTGAAATGGGAGCGATGGATCGTGGTTTACGGAGCGGTTAGCTACTACGGATTCATTTACCTGATCCTCTGGGCCATCTTCTATCACACCTATCATTACTTTTTCCGGATCAGTTCCCGAAAGGAAGCGGGCGAGGTTGAAAAGTTAGAAAACAAGAGCACGGAAAAAGTTACAGAGGAGAAGAAACCCGAAGACAAAAAGTCTGAGTAGTAGGAAAGGGAAATGGGAGAGAAAATAACTGGCAGCAAGTATTCAAAATTTTAGTTTCACCTTGAGAATTGTTTAGGATTGGTATTAATCAAAGAATCGAATTATTTTTACTAACCAAATACGGAGTTTTACCAAATAACATGCCACTGTAATTAGAGATTTGTTAACTAGCTATTGAAAAGCAATTTTATACATATATATATCGTCTGCCTAGTCAAGGAGGAGTCATCCCCAAGTATGCAGTGTGTTTTTTTCGGCGATAAGATATTTAGCTTATCTTACCCAAATAAAAACACATTGTCAGTCTTATATATATTATGGAACTTTAAATTGTTTAAGTGTTAAAAGCCGTTTAGTTCAACTAGAAACTAGACAGATCACACAAGACTTTAGCAAGACAAGACCGTGTCTATGAAAATCAAACCACTTCTGTAAACGATTTCTTGTAATGGAAAAGGGAGCATTCGAGACTTAACTAAGCCGTAAAGACAGTTTTATACAAATACAAAGATGATGCAAAGATATATTTTGATATGCTCAAGCTAAGTGCAAATTACAGTGACGAAAATGCGAAATAAATGCAATGGAATTATTTTTAATTACAAGGCAAGCATTTATTGGGCATGGAAATTAAATGGGGCAAATGGTAAAGTTTTTTGGACATTACTAATGATTTATTTTTGAAACAAAGCTAAGTTGAGATAATAATGATATAATTACTTTTAAAAACGTTGATCAAACTAAGGACTATGAGATTGAATTAATTGTAAAATAATTATCGATTTAATGTGATTCAATTAGGCATTCTAACAAATATTTTCCGGAATTGATAATTAGGAAATGTTTATATAAAATGTAAATATGTAGCTTTAATATAAATGTTATGCAAATTTTACCTGGCCTAAATAGTCTTTAATTCTTATGTTTCTTTTGTAATTTAGACCGACCAGATTTTCTTGAATTATTAAAGTAAGCCAATCGGGTTTGCTTTTACACCCTTCAGCATTCATAAATTAATATTTTGTTCACCCCTTATCAGATATTTTAAGAAACTTGTATGCTAATGTTTTATTATTCACAATCCTGGTGAAACACCGCAATCAAAGGCATCTAAATTAATCGTAGATACAAGGAAACTTATTTATTGATGATAAAATAGTCATGAGAATGTACTGGGAGGTTGCTGGAAAACTAATCTGCAGGCTCTAGTGCTCCATGGGCTGGGCATCTCCGCCGCCGGCCTCCACACGACGCTTGGCACCGCCACCAGAAACAGGATCCTGCTCCAGCTCCTCGGTGATCTCGCTGAACATGTAGTCGTCCTGGTACTCCTTCAGAATCTTGCTGGAACGATTCTCGTCCAGGAACAGCGTGTAGACCTTCTTCACATCCTCGGTATTGACTTCGGTGGCTTTGCGACGACGGCAAACCAAATTGGCCGTGGTAATCAATTGAATGGCATAGCGGAGGCTCGTGTCCGTGGCGATGCGCGTCAGAATGGTCAGAGCATCCGGGTGCATGATGCAGTCTTCCTCCTCGCAGCGGATCTTCAGGATCTCCTTGACCTCCTTCTCAAGATACGCCACTGTGCGTATGATGATCATGCGATCGAGCAGATCAATGGGAATGCCGTGGGGACTGCGGTAGTTGGTGCCCCTGATGCGAGTGATGCCGCGATTGGTGGCCATCACCACCACCGGAGCCATGTCCGATTCCAAGGCGCGATTCAGGAAGGAGAAGCACTCAATATCCAGCATGTGGACCTCGTCTATGAAGAGCACTCCCGGATTTATCTCGGCCTTGCCCTCCTCACGCCATTCGAGAACTTTGTTGTTGATTTGATCGCGTACCTCCTGCTTGATTTCACCAGTGTCGCCGGAGAACAGAGCTAGGAATCCATGGGTGCGACTATTGATCACATCGATCTCGTGCAGCGTGACAGTGTGCACCACTTCCTTGCGCTTCTGCAGCTCCCCCTCGGGGCACTGGACGAATCTGGTCTGGGCACCAGTGGCATCATAATCCCTGGCTCTGGTGAAGCTGCGTCCCAATTTGTTCACCTTTCCGGAAGCCTTGTCGATGGTGATCACATCGCCCGCCTGGATTTTCTCCTTCATGAAGCACTCGATGATCTTGTTGCCCAGATCGTAATTGGTTTCCATCTCGGTGGTCTTCAGGGTGACCTTGCCCACCTTCTGTCCAGTTCCCGTGGCTGGGCGTTCGATTTGGATCTCCACCACCTCGCCCTCGATGATCTCGGTTTCCTCCTTGATGCGAACGCCAATGCTCTTGCGCAGAGCCTGTGACAGAGCCTCGGTTTTGCTCATCTCGAGGGAGTAGATCTCCGATCCAGACATACTGGTAAATGGGGTTTCTGTGCCCAGAGCTTGGGCCATTCCCACGGCGATGGCCGTTTTGCCGGTACTTGGTTCTCCGGCTAGAAGGATGCATCTGCCGGCAATCTTGCCGTCGCGCACCATCTGCACCACCACTCCGGCGGCTCTGCGGGCATCCTTCTGACCCACCATTCCCTGGGAGACCAGACGCGCCTCCAGAACGTCGTCCAGTCCCAATCCGCGAATGTGCGAGTGGGCGCCAATGCGCTCGATGCGCGTCACGTCGCGTACCTCGATTTTCTCGGTCTCGGTCATTTTGTACTTCTGAAATATATCACCTTCTATAAGTTTTAATCTTTTCTGTTTCTTCCAGCGACTCACAAGTTGTTTATGGAGCTAAAATAAGTTGCTAGGCAAAGCACGAAATTCGGACAGCAAAAACGCCGGGCCTGCTTTTGAGAGAAGTGTTGGAAAGTGACTCAGATCGAGGGCATTTCACAGCACTTGATCAGGCAGCACATGCTGTCAGTGATGGCCGTTTTGAAATAAAGCTAGCTAAAAGTAGCTAAGTATGTTGTATATTATCCAAATAAATGCCTTGAGTTTTAAAATATTTTGATAGTTATTAAGATTTATTTTTTATGAGGCGTTGGTACATATGAGTGGATCCGTTAGAAGTCTGTTTTTCCTTTAGATTTTTTGTGCGATATAAATTTAATTGAAAGAGATTTCTGTTATACACCTGATAGTGATGCCACCTCTGAAAAAATAGCTAGAATAAAAAGCTCAAACTGCATATAACAGAGATGTTAACTTGCCGATGTTAAAACAGCTGATTGGCTACGCGTTAGATCATTTTTTTATGTCGTTTAAAACACTGCCCTGCGCTTGTCCAAAAAAATCAGATTTATTTATGTGCATTTTGAGTTAAAAACCGTTCAAAACGATGTCATTTTTAGCGCAAACTGTGCGTCAGGTGCTGCGGCAGGTGCCCAATCGCAGTTCAGCATTAGCAGGTGAGTGGTAATATGGTAAAAGACCATGTAAACAATGTGACATAACAAGGTCTCAAACTTCGCACTTTTTGCAGGTGCCATGCGTTCGCTGAGCATTTCACCGGCTTTTAAGCAGCAAAACAAACCCGCCGCGGAATCGGTGGATATATCCGCCATAGCCAAGGATCACCAGAAGGAGGGCCTGGAGATCTGCGAGCGAATCAACCGACAGGTGGCCAAATCCGAGCAGGGACGACTATTCGCAGTGGTTCACCTGTGCGGCAAGCAATTCAAAGTCACTCCCGGCGATATTGTCCTGGTCGAAGGATACTGGCCCCCAACGACGGGCGATGAGATCAGTCTGGACAAGGTCCTGCTGGCCGGCGCCCGGGACTTCACGCTGGTGGGCAGGCCCATCCTGGAACCCGGCCTCGTCGTCGTGAAGGCCACCGTGGTGGAGAAGACCCTCAGCCACACGAAGACCCACTTCCGGAAGAAGCGCAGGAAGCAGTACATGCGGATCAACTTCCAGCGATCCCCGCACACCATGATCAGGATCAACTCGATCGAATTGGCTCGTCCCGTGGACGGGAAAAGCGAGGCGCAGGAGTCCCCCAAGCGCTTGTTCTAGTTTAAATGCTGTTAATCAAGAAAAATAAATCACATCATTGGAAGGTAATTAAGAAATCAAAATAGAAAGGTTTTTAAAAGATTCTTCCATTTATCCTCTGAATGGGAATTTTCTTATTCTCCATTTGCCTGCACATTTTTTTATATATATTTTGATTGACAAGACAATTTTTAAAATTAAGAAATATATATCTATAATTTGTTAATGGCAAATTTTTAAATATAAGTATAGTAATTTTTATATTTTTTAACTGCCAACCATAAACAATTTTCAACGATCTGGCAACTGGCATCCTACATTTTTTCACCCATCTGGGTGCTTTTCATAACATAACCTATTTCTATTGGTCTGGCCACTCGTGCGCTGGATTTTAAAATCAACTTGTATTTTTAACAAGTTTTTTCCTCTACTTTTCTTTTAATCTTTTGTAGAAATTGCCCTTCTGTTTTGTTTTTTCCATTACAAATTCCACTTTCATCTTGATTCAATGACTCTGTGGCGTTCATCTCGATTCTCGACAGTATTTACCCAAAACGACAACCTAGTTTCAAATACGAACCACCCAACTCAACTTCCGACTTTTCTGCACCACAACAAAGAAAAGGCGCCATCTCTAATGAAGCAACCAGCAGCAACCGCTGCAATTTTAATGACAACCTTTTATCGTCCATGTTGTTGTTGCCATCTTTCATTAAAAGACGTCCTCCCCATTTGCACCACCCATCCGAAAGCACCCACTCCACGATTTATAAACTGCACTTTTCACATAGGATGCCTGCTGCTTTCTTTATCAGCAGATGTAAGTTGCTCCCGAGTCGGCGGCAGTCGGATTTGTATTTGTTTACGCTGCTCTTTCACTTTCCACTAACCAAAGGCGTTTACTTTTTAGCCTTTGCCTGGCTTCAGCTACAGATTCAGATTCAGCCTTTGCTTTTGCTTTTCCCTGGCCCCATTTTCCAGTTTGGCCTTTCCGGTTTCAGTTTTGCCAGGGGGGAAAATGAAAATTGAATGAACACGTGAGGTTAAAGAAAGGTTCCCCTTTGATTGGGCCTACAAATTAAATTCACGGATTCAAAACTATTTTAGTTATAAATGTAGAAATTGCAGTGTGAGGGATTGCAGTTCCTTTGAAAGATCGGTTTTTATATTATTTTATAGTTTATGTTACAAGGGAAGAGAAAAATTATTTAAAACACAAACATTGTTAAAAATTTTCTGAAAGAAAATTAAATATTCTTAGCTTTAACAAAAAATCTGAACGATATACAAATAAACTTGAAAACAATTATTAAAATTGTAAATTATAGTGCTATTAAAGTTTTGACAATAAGTGCACATCTAATGAAAGTTATTAGTTTATTTTAAATTAAGTTTCATCATAGTGTCACTGGCAAATTAAAATTGATATACAAACATTAGTGTTTAATTTTTATGAGCTAAGTTTTGTACAGGAATTTTTATTTCTTAAGGCTTATACTTATTCATCATTTTAATTTGAAGTTTGGTTAAATCTGCCTGTCAAGTTATATGCATACACAAACTTAATTTAAGTAATTTGTTTTTCATTTAATAACTCACCTGAGACCCCATTTTCTCCCCCTTTTAAGTTTCTTGGCTCTAAATTCAATGTGATGTCTTCACTCCTGGCGGCATCGTGTTGACGCCATCTAAATAAAATCACTTTCGCTCCATATAAAAATGCCATTAAAAATTATGGTTTCGCATCCGTTCCCCCGATCCCCCGATCCCCCGCTCCCTTAAAAAGGAGCCGACGTTGATGTGTCTAATGGTGCCACATCAAATTTCGCAAATTGCACAAGCAGCACAAATTCAATTGTCGACACTTCGGGCAAGTTTTGCTCAAATATCCATCACAAAAATGTATATTCCCGCTGCACTTTGCCAGCGACAAATCAAATTTCAATATGGAAGGCGCAAAATATAAATAAAAAGAGTAAGCGGAAAATAGAAACACAAATTGAAAGCATTTTGGTGCGATAAAATGCCACCTGACTGCCTGCAAGTTTTTGGGCATTATGCTCCTACCACTTTTTGGGTTGATTATGCTATTTGCCCAGCAAAATTGCATTTGATGTGCGTTAAGTGACAAAACGGAAATTGCCACCAAGCGGATGCTGTGTTTGTTTGTCTTCTTATGGCGTTTACCATCCGCCTGCGAAAACCACCCACCACCCACGGTCGAAGGTCCATCTAAGCCACCACTTTCTGCCCACCCTCTCTCCATTTTCCGCGCCGTGAAAATCCCATGTAAATGCGGCTCAAGTTGGTCCAAATTTCGTAAATTTATGCGTAGAGGCGTGTGATGTATGAGTCGCAAAAGGGAGAAGGCAAAAGAAAGGAGCATGTGGACGCAAACACTCAAAAAAATATAAAGGATATAAATATATAAAATGAAAATATTTGGTCTAAATTAAAATTTAATAAAATAAGTCATAAGTTCAAGTTTAATCCTTTATTAGTTTAACCTAACAATTGTTATTTACTTATTCATATAAACTATACATAAATGCTAAAAAAATGTTTGTGAATCTTTAGTATTTTCGTATTCAGAGATTTGTATTAGGTCTTAAATAATTACTTAACCTTAACCCAAACTTCAAAAAAGGCCATAATAAAATGATTAAAATTTCGTATGACAATTATTTCCATAAATATTAAAAAATCTCTACATTTTGCTTAAAATTCAGGTGAACATAAATTGTTAAAATTGGGATAATATCCGTGGCTTTTACAACATATTATGAAATTATGTATTTTAAAAGCTAAGATATTGGAAATATTCTGCCTGTGAATACATTAACAGTTATTCTATCTTATAAAATTGTTTTTTTTTATTTTAAAGGTAATTTTTTAGAGTGCACCAAGGCCGAAGGATACTGTATTATGACCACCCATCCATCATCAGCATCACTCAGTTTTGACATATCATTGAAATCTTATGCCAACGTCGTCATCATCTGTGACGTTTCATTAACCCACCTCCGCCCCCGATCCTTGCCCCGCCCATAAATCTGGGGGTGGGTTGGGAAATGGGAGTAGAAGTAGAAGTGGGAGGAATGTGTTAATATCAACAAGCGAAAACTGTGCGAACGCAATCTACCGATTTCCGCTTAACCAAGCCAAACATTGCATTTTTGATTAGACACCGGCCGACGAGCCCCCAGGCTGGACAAATCCCAAGAACGAGGATGTGGCCGCATCCTTCCAAGGGAATGTTCGCAGGGGTGGCTTTTTGATGTGGTCCGGGGGATTTCCGGGCGGGAGGACGGGGTGCTGCTCGGCGGTTAAGTGGCGAAGTCAGGGGCGCGGGCAATTGATTGTAATTCCATTTTTATTGGCGCTTCGCAATCACTTCTATTCGTCATATTTGTTTTCCTTTGCCTTTGAAGAATTGATGGCTTCTATTAATCGATGAATTTTTATATAGGTTACATAAGTTAAAGGCGCACAAATAGCTGTATATGATTTTTAAAAGCGTCTCTTCTTTTTTAAAATAAAAAATTAATAATTGCATTTTCAATTTACTAAAATTTTAAAAATAATGTTAAATAATCGTAAAAAAAATCAGACAATCCCAAAATGCGTCCTTTATACACATTATAAATTTAATGAATATAATAAATAATATAAATAAATTTCTCCCATCAACTACTGTATTGTACATTCTTTAATTTGCGTGTCAATTGAAAATTGGTACTGGGTAACCTTTTAAAATTTTAAGTTTACATCTATTTATGTTTACCTTCAAAGCAAAATATTTATTTTCTATGACACAACTTGAAAGCATTCAGTGAACCCATCAAATGCAAGCATACTACATTTAAAATTGGGTTTCTGGATTGAACATCCCATTTATTTTCTTCACGCTTTTCGTATTCATAAATTTCTGTTCCTTAACTTTAGCCTTCACAATCGAAATATTATTTTCGCATTACATCGATAGCGAGCCCAACCCTCGTCTTCATCAATTTGCCTAAAGCATATTACATTCGAATTATAAACTCACATATCATTTTTCGATAAGAGGGATGATGACGATTTCTGTCACCTAACGCATAACTTGAAAACTTTTTCTAGAGAATTATGCAAAAATGTGGAAAATGTTGGCCCAGCTCCTTGGGGATATTTTTCAGTTCACTGAATTGTTGTTTGTGATGCCGAAAAAAAAGTGATTTCCAAACGGCAAGGGTTGTCAAGCCGTTTTTTTTTTTTTTTGTGTGAATGCTGCTTCTTTGATAACCTGATGGTGATATGACAATCTACTCGTAGTCCCCCGCACGTGTCGCAATTCGAATTTAAATAAGTTCGACGGGCAGCAAAATTCACAAACAGTTCGGGGGAATGGCCTCTCCACTTCGGCTCTTAATGATGAAATTTCAATAAATGTCATTTGGTCTCGGCAAAGTGTCAACATGGCACCTACCCGCCTCCTTTTCGTCCTTTTAGGGGCTGCAACAGCTGTCATTGCCGCGTGCAATGCGTTAATAATGACAGTTTTCCCAATATTTTTTTGTTTTTATTTTGTTAGACTCTAACTAGCCGGGAAATCGACAGAGAATGGGGGCTAGGACAGAGGATACAGGACTCTGTAGAGTTTTCGATTCTGCCTGTTAAATTTAATTACTTTTCCATTGCTCATACGCACTGTGTGTCCGTGCAAAGCAGAGACCAGTGTTGCGTGACTTTTAGCAGGGATGTATTCCAAAAATGCCAAACAAAAACTTTGCAACACCAGAAATAATCGAAATAAAACCTGTATTTTTTATAGAGGTGATGGGAAAACCTGGCTGGATTTTTAAGCTTTCAAATATGTAATTTATCAAAAAATTACGAAACCATTTTAGTAATTTTTTTTTTTTTGGGTTATTTCTTAATTTTATATGACTCTTGATTTATTTACGATAAAAAAGTGATACTAGTTGAGATTTAATTTTGAATTTGAATAAAATTAGGTTAAAGGACATGATAATAATGTTTTATGAGAGAAGTTTGATTAAATACTCATTTATTGTAATATAATAGGATAGGACTATTAATGTAATTGTAGTGATAAAAAAGCTCGTTTTTTTTACTTTTTTAAAAAAAATTTTATGTTTAAATTCCTCTGATCGAAATGTATCCAAGGTGCCAGCACTGCCCAAATGTCACAGAGAGAAAACGGCAGTGAGAGCGAAGTTGTGATTGAAAATCGTTGAAATTTGCATGTTACACGAAGAAATTGCCAACTGCGTTTGTCACAGCCCCTCTCACTGATTGCAAACGGCGACTATTCGGATGGTTCCCGGTGGACTGGGCCACCACGTCCTCATCTCCTCATCATCATCAATAGTTGACTGTTTCATAGCCAGTTGGCGGCGTTTGTCACAATGGCATTTAATATTTGGACACTGGTGTCCCTTCAGGAAATTGTTGGTCCTGACAAAATATTTGATCAGGTTTTCGCGTCACATCCTGGTGGCCATATACTGCGTTTTGGTGTTGAACTTCTGAACTGTGCAATTGCAAATGAAAAATAGACTACATTTCTTGAATATCGGTACAAAAGCCTTTTTGTATTTTAATTTATAATGTTTTGGTTTCTTATCTAGTTCTATTTATATTTTAATTTTATCTATTAATTTTAGCTTTACAAAAGCACCTTTTAATTTTTTTGTATATCTATAAGACATTTATAAATATAACCAATATCAATACAATTGATACAATCGTTATAAAGTTTCATAAGTCTTTAAATTTATTATTCTTTTTACCTTTTTTTGCATTAAAAAAAAATTGAATGTGAATTTTATGAGATACAATTTCTTGTACATTTTGAAATACATTTGTGTCTCAGCTCCCATTTTTAATGGGATTTTTTTCTTTTTATTTTACATAAGTTCAGCACAAATATGAATATTTTTGCTGCTTTATTTTTATTATTATCCATGATTCCCTGGGAGAGTTGATTTTGAGGATTGGGAAGTGAAAACCAGAATTGGCGCTTGACCGTCTACCAAAAGCTGAACGGCGATGGATTCAACTCTTTGCTTGATATTCAGATTCAGATTGAATGGTAATCCGATGTCCGAGGTCCTAATGATGACTTTATTGTTCTCCCTGTACTGCCTTTTGTAGTCCCCAACTTCTCTAGTCAATCTGTTTATACTGCGCTCCAATTCTAGAAGCTTGCGATCAAAAGAAGTTAATGGTTTCTTCCTCAGTTTGGCCTGAATTAATCGCTTCCTACGCGTTTTAATCTGAAATAAGTTCTATTAGCAAATGTTTGATTTGTGTTCAGTAAGCTCACCATCTTATTGGTGTATTTAATACGAGCTGCCATTTACCAATATAGAATAATTGTGAATAAAAACCAGACACTGCGAAGTTGTCAAACCGAAAAGTATTAGAGATGCATGTGCAGTCTATCGATAGTTTTTACATTGTAAGTGTTGTGAAGCAATAAGTTTAAATTGATTAATTAGGACATTCCCTTAAATACAAAATCAGTAAACCATTAAACTATAAAATTTTAACAGGGAGTTAATTAATTTTTTTAATAATAGATTTATAGAATTATAGAATTTCACTAGACCCGAAACGGTAATTATCGATATTTTTATACCGATAGATAAGTTATCTAATATCTAATAAATGACGCAAAAGTGTCAAGCTTTTTTGTTTTTGATGATTGTCATGATTGATATAAAACAAAGTTAAAAGTATGAGAAATAAATATATCCAAAAGTTGAATGAGAAGTTTTATAATTGTTTTTTTATTACACTCAAAAAAAATCACTTTTTGTTTCCAGATAACGACATTTTCCAGTTTCAGCGTTAAAATTTTTTCAATTAAATAACATATATTAAACAGAATATTAAAAATGAATATAGGTTTTATTTGGTATTCATTCAGCCTTATTTGGATGCTTCCCTGGCGAGATTTAAGTTCTGCTGAATTAAATGGATCATTATCCATTATGTGACCAAACTTGGCAACAGATTTCCATAATGGCTATTTCATTGGTCAGTCAGCGCCAGATCCACAGGCCATCCTTTATGGTCGATGGCCATAAACCATAAACCATTCCGCCTACTCTTCACGTTTTACTTGCGGTTTTTGGGCGATTTTCAAAGCCCTTCAACAGGGCAGGGCAGCCCAACTGCGGACTTCCACTTCCGGCTGTTGAGTCGTGTGTGAAATATTAAAATTCAATTAAAATGGCGTTAATTCCAGCGGCAGCAACGAATGTCCAATGCCTGCGTCTGTCATAATTGTCAACTCTTGGGGAGCCTGATCCGCAGGACAAGCATCATGTCCTTTGGCATAATGATGCTCATCAACGGACAGGCTGCCATCACGTCCGGAAGTCCCTCCGTCCGGCTGTTTTGTGTCCACATCTCAATGGCATCAATGGCCGCCGCTGATTTCCTCCGCATACAGCTCCTCCTCCCCCCCCACTTTTCCCTGCCCCTTTTCCACCCGTTTTTTGTTCAACTCCCATGCAAATTGCACTTCAGACATCCATTTATCATCGACGCATCAGCACCAGAAGCGGAATCACCAGTCAGCAGTCAGCCAACGATAATGGTTAATTAATAAATATTTCCCTCTAGCGATGTCCGATTGAGCTACAAAAAATATGGCATCCTTTTGATATAGAAATTGTATGGAATTCAATTGGCTTTTGCCTCATTCATTCAAGTTGGTCTAGGCCCTTGGACCCGTTTTTATTTGGCGTTGGACTGTTAAGCCATTGACCCACTCGTATTAACTGGTCAACTGTTGAGTCTAGACAAGAATGGGGATATTTAAAGATGGGAAAATAGAATAGAATAGAAGTGAAATAAATAATCCAAATTTATTACCCTCAGTAAAATTTTATACAATATTTCCATCCCATTAAAAATAATATTTAATAATGTAGCCGGCTTATATAAGGTCTGTTTAATTTGAACTGTTTTTACCTAGCCCATAACCTTTTATTTTTATAATACTTGATTGTTTGGAAGCAATTATGCATATAAAATAAAAAGACAAAGTTGTTTTATTTCTGGTTTAAATTCTATACAAACTATACTCTAGATAGCGCTATATTTATATCCCTCATCGAGGAAATTATAACTCGCAGTCTTATCTGAGTGAATTTCCCAAGATGTTGGAACCCAAATAAAATGTCAATAAATTAAGTTCCTCATCAATAGAGAAATACACTTAAATATATTTATTCATTGAAATGTTTCGAAACTGGAAACTGCACAAAATCGCAAAGCATCTTAACCCTTTCTAGTTCTCCATTTTATTCAAATACAATCCTGCAGGCTTTAAGGATTTCCCTTTGCAGACGTTGAATCGCGTTCAATATTAGTTGTATGTTGTGTGCTTGAGCAGCCCTTCAAGTACCTTTCGACTGTTTGATTAGGCATTCCGGCTGCCGAATAAATACCAATAAACGGAGTCAAAGAAGGGGGATTCCAGGTGTCAACTGTACACAACAACACCCACTTGAGTTGTTGAGGGGGAAATGGGGGAAAGTGGGGGAAAGTGGGAAAGGAGTTTCCCTTCGGCTTGAGTCAATATTTGATGTCGTTGCTGAAAGTTTCACTAACAACTTTTCGGATTCCTTACTTTTCTCCCCATTTTGCCCTATCTTACTATCCTTTTGTCGGAGGTCAAGTTATTGACTCGTGTTTGTTCAATTTTTAAATTTTATTTCCACATAGTTTTCGGAGTGAAAGCGGAGTTTCGCAACGAAATCTCCTGTGGAACGCCTCATTGATTGCCCATTTAGAACCGCAAAATTTAATTTATCTGCCATCAGTTGATGTTCTTGCGGTTTGCCAATACACAGGCACTGCCCAAATGATATCAAAAGAAGGTTTGATATATATATATATATATAGGTTTATATATACGCATCTAAAGCCTCGCCCCAAGTTTGTGGCCCTTTGTTTGGTGTAACCCATGTCAAAAATTGTACAACAGTTTGGTTTTTTTTTGCTTGTTGCTGGTTTTCTGATAACATTTGGCTGGGTAGTCATGTGTGATTGTCTGAGTGTGTGTGTGTTTAAGATATCATCTGTCTCTGGCGATACCGAGCAGTCCCCAAAGACCCCGGGAGCCCGGTATCCCGGTATCCCTCTATCCCGGAACCCAGAAACCGAACCCCAAACCCAAACCCAAATCCGACCCCCTGTCCGCAATCGAAGGACGTCAGGCACTTCCGTTGGCTGCCATTGCCACCTGCTGTTTGACACCTAAATTCGCTTATTGTTGCCTGCTTTGGATTTACTTTTATGAACTTGTTCGCTCATAGGGGAAATCTATATCATGCACTTAAAAAAAGGTATCCAAATTTGCTTGGGATCTAATTACACAGTCTCTTGAATAATAATGTTTACCGAATACTACATATATAGAAAAATTCCTTAAAAATAAAATTGAGTAGCCATTTACTATTAATGTTACACAATGTTTAAGTTCACAGTTCTTTAAAGTGTACACATTAATTAATATATTATTTATATTTTCCTATCCAAATTTAAAATAGTTATTTTAAAACAAACTAGTTACCTACTCTGTGTTTTTAAATTAGCCAAGGCAATCCAAAGTACATAAAAAATGTGTAAATTAAAAGTAAAAAAAATGGAAACTAGCGAAAAGTATTTAATATAATAAATTAAGTCAATATATAATATAATAGCTTTCTATCGAATTACACATTTTATTTTATTTGTTAACTTATATTTACAAAACGTAGGTGTTGCTTTCAGTTTTATACACTAACAGTGTGATAGTCTTTTTTAAGCTTATATTTTTTTAGGCTCTAACAATTGTTTATGATCTGATTTCTAAGCTGATTTAAATAATAGCTTTAATAACTTTTTCCCAGTGCACTTATGAGCTTGGCTGCTGAAATTTCAACACTTCATTCAATTCGCAATTCGTTTCAACAATTGAAATGCGATTAGCGCCAAGGTGTACACGGGGGAAATGAATGAATGAATGAGGGGATGAGGGGAAGGATGGCCAGGACGCGGAGGATTCGGATTCGGGAGCGGGTTTTGGGTTGGCTACATTTTTGATTTATGTGAAATTGAGTTAAATTCATCCACACATGCACACCCACAGCAAACACACATCCTGCCCCGCAGGCTTTCATTGTAGCGAACGCGTCCTAATCAAGGCTATTCACTTGCCATAAATCAAATTAAATGGCTGTCACATATCGCCGGGCGCCAGTGGGCCTAAAGCCCCTCCTCAACCTAATCCCCCCCTTTGTCCTGCCGCCCCTGCTCCATTTCATGCTCCTCTTTCTATCACTACCATTGTAGTTTGCGCTGTCAGCTAAGCATAATTAAAAGCGAGGAAAATTGCGAGGAAAATACAGTCCTTGGATCGGGCTTATAAATGGGATGGTGCAGTGCATGAAGAGAATTTTTTGTGGCTAAAAGCTTTATACTGATTTATCCTCAATCATTTTCAAAACATGTTCGTTTGCAATATTGAAAGTTTCCGATTTTTGCGAAGAAAGATTATTTGGTTTTCTTCTTAAAATAGTATTTTTGTTAATGTAAAATAAATAAATTTAATTCTCCATTCAATTCCCTAACATTTTTATTTGATATTTTCATTTTAGAATACCTTTTATTGTACAATTTTAAAGTCAAGATGGATTCCTGTCGATTTCTCTATTTTGAAACTCAATTTATATGAATACCAAAAATGATTATAATCATTAGCTTTTCAAATCACTAATAAGGGAGTCTAAGATTATACTATTGCACTCTTTAGACACATTTTCAGGTGATTTCAAAACAATAGTGATTTTTGATTTTAAACTCCTCTATTATTCCAAAAATCAGAATAACCAACACCAACTTCTCCCCTTGATTTAAATACTTTTTATTTTGTTCCAGCTCAATCCGCAGTTCGAGTCCCTTTCTACCCCAATTAATTTAGCACCTTGATTAGCCTACCGTCCAATACTTCAGAAAGCAGCAGCTGTCATGGGGAAATGCCTTTACCCCTTTCCCTGGGGCTAAACAGTCGAGTGAAGTGTAGCTAATTTACTGTGCCTCCGACTTTCGCTGCAGCCTGGGAAAAAAGAAATCCTTTTGACTTCAAAGAAGAACTGTTGCTTGGAGTGCGTGCTGCGGAGGGGGAAAAAAAAGAAGGAGGGGTTGGGTGGGGAAGGTCCTGGTAGGTCCAACAATGTTGCCAAACACTCCACGTGGTAGGCTCTCGCTCCCCAGATCCTTTGACACTGTCAAACGCGCTTTCCACCCAGCTTTTCCCCGCTTGAAGTGCATTTGTTTTTTGGCTTTTGTTTTAATTGGCTTGCGCCCGGGCTTGAAGGAGTCGTGATCCTTTACTCCTTTTTAGCAAACTAC